TGAGGTTTTAAAAATTTGTTAATATTGACGAAAAATATTACAATTAAAATTTTGTTTGAAACAAACATCATTATAAAAAACGGGTTATTATATTTGTACAACTTAATACTGAAGCAAATAACGAATAAAAAGAATGGAAAATGACGAAGCCGACTTTTCAGATTGAATTTCCATTCAGAGAGGTCAATATTAAAATTACTTTTACATTGTTATCTCACGGATTAGGGCTATCCGTGATAATTAATGAAAATAAATAAAAAACAAATGAAGAATTGTCTTGTTGCGATGATTTAATGTATTTTTAACACGTCGAATAGTATCGAGCACATATAATTGTGTCCTTGATGGCACAGTGGTTGTCTCGTTCGGTCTGCTATGCGGTAATTAAATAACTTTCGCAAGGTTCGGTTATAAGATATCGGTAGATAGATACGTTAAGTAGCTACTCCGCATTTGCACTAGTTAACACCCACCAATCCGCACTAGTCCCACACCTTTCCAGCAATGGGGACATTAATAGACTAGTGATGGCAATGACATATAATTAACACTTACAGAATGCACCTGTCTTCGTAAAGAGAACTTAAGATATAAAATTTGACTCGATATGAATTCGATGGTTTTTCATGTTACATAAAATGAGTTTTTGCATTGCTCATCTGCCTTAATCTCCTTATCGTATTTCTTTATATTTTCATTATATGACGTCCTTTTGCCCCTTATCTGAGTAGTTTGACGTTACAAACTCAGAAGTTATGGATCGAATTTTCATGCGTTATCGATGTATAATTCATAAATTAGATTTAGGTAAGGTGTATATAAGGTAGGCTTAAGGTTGTATCTAGATTATAGTATAATTTTAACATAAATATTGAAAAAAGTATTGAAAAATACTTAGTTAAGCACAGCATCTAAGCAGACAATTTAAAAAATCATCTATTCATTGTAAATGGCACTCGTGCCAACCGGAGACAGATCTCTAGTTATTTTTGATATTCAGATTGAGTATCCATAGTAAATATATTAGTAATGGACGTATTTATACCGGTCTCGGAGTCTATAACAGAAAATGTTCGAAACCTTTATTTAACATAGAATATGTGAATGGTACGCTTGAAATTACACCTTAAATGTATTATAATAAAGCTTGCCATTTCACGAATAAATGTTCGAAGGACGTGACGCGTACTTCAGTGGGACGAAACTTTGATGTCTAGGTTGGTGCTATATAAGTCGGTATTTCTATCTAGAATGGATCATACGTGAAATCTTCGTTGTATTCCGGGGACGTGGTCGTAATCTGATGGACTAGCATGGATCCAGGTGATATAACTTCTGTGCGTGCTGTTTCATTACAGACGAACGACAGTTTCAAAATCGATCCCTTTACATAGTAAATAATTTTATAATTTAAATTTATTTTCATTGAATAATATTATGAAGGCTAAAATAATTGTTACGTTTAGCTACTGTTCTGTCAATGTCGTCATCGTAAAATTTTAAACAATGTTAGTTTATAAGATTATACTTAAATATTTGTAGGTTCATCGTTTAGCATAGGAGTAGGTATAACAATTATAGAAAAACAATAAATTGACGATATTTACATAACGCTGACACTTTTATTTCGGTTTTGTGTATGATAAAAATATAAATTTCCTCATTTTTACTTCATTTCTTTTACGCTTATAATTATATTAGGAATATCCTTGAATTTATGATCCGCTTTGTTATTCTGTAATATACAATAATCAGTTTGAATTTGGTTTAATTTGATTTAACCTCTATACTTGGACACTGCTGTACCCAACGATTGAGTGATTTTTCATAGAATAGGACTGCGGAGTTGGATTCACATATGATGTCATAGCATTCTGTAAGTTGCATCGAGCGCGTCGGCTGTAATCGGTGTCGGACGTGGTGTGGTGTAGGCAAATAGCTTCCGTGCTGCCGACGCCGTGTTCCACTTTTGTGCCAATTCGCGCTGGCCCATATTTACTACAACAACTTCTAAGCTTGTAAACAAGAACATTTTTTTGCAGGACTAGTTTTATGTCTGATTTATAGGTATTACCATTTTCCAATCCTACTTACCTTACTTTAAAAAATTCATTGGTACTATTACTATTGGTACTATTTGTATTATTACTGTATTTTATTAATACAGTCAACAGCACGTCAGGTTATACAAATCTGACAAATTTCTCCACTTGATTTAAAACCTTATTGCGTCAAGAGTAGAGTTTAAATTTAACTGGAGAAATTTTAAATATTCTGGTAGCCTGACGTGCTGTTCACTGTACCACACTTCATCTAAATATCTGGTCTACGTACTACCGAAGGAAATATATTACTACATAGATGAACCGTATAGGAGGGACACAAAAAATGTATATATGGATAGAAAATACCTTCGATTAGGGTGAAAAGGTCCACTAAGTTAGAGTTTTTATTTTAGCTACTCTAAAAGATTAAGCTATTTAACAAATTCAAAGTTACGGCAGTGAAAGTACCTCATTGTACTCATTATTTTATAATACTAACCCTTATATCCTTAGTTTTTAGAAGTCTCAGTTACCTTTTTGGAGAACAAACAAAAAGAGATTTTAAAAAATCGAGCTTTTGGAAAAGTTTAGGTAGTTTTTTTTTATTAAATATTTTTCAATGTAAGTTTTATATCACATAGACTTCATGTTTGATACAAAATTCAAATAAAAATTGTCGATTACTCTTGTTAACATAACAGGGTTCCGTTGTGTTCATCTTCCTAACGTCTTCGTTGCAACTTTGAAAGTAATCTTTGCGAAATATTAGGAGGCGTGCAGAACGTATGTGTTCATGAGTGCGAGTCGCGTGCAGTGAGACCGTGCGGCGCACGCGCGACTACACTCCGCACACCGCTGCCGCCGCGGCCGCTCACGCCCGCAGACGCGACGCTCGCGATACCGAGATGCTATCGAACTTCTAAACAGCTTCATAACTTTATATCTTTCGTCGTGAAAAGATTTTTTACAATTTAAAAATATGAAATCTATCAAAAGTCGTGTTTCAACGTGGTCGAGGTGAGGGGGCGATGCGCCGCGAGCCGCCGGCCGCCGCGCGATGAGCGCGCGTTGCACGCCGCCCGCGCGCGCCTCCCGCTTGCACGCGCAGCGCCTCGCGCGAGCTTTTCTACCTTTAGTACTAACCATCGCTCGAGCACAGTGAGTACTCAACTTTAAAAACTTCAATTGAACTTTTAAAAAACTCACATTAATATCATGAACGCTTTGTTTAAATAAAGTTTAACACAGTGATATTTAAAAAGAAAATCAGCATAGCTAAACTTATTCTTTATTATTAAATAAATTTATACAGAAAGTTGACTTACTGATTAAAAAAAAAAAATAATATACATTTTTTAATTATCTTCTTCCGAAATATTGGTAGAGTGAATGTTATACATATTAAAAACGTGATTTTTAACGGCAAAATGTTATAAATTAAGAGGCAAGTATTATGTGAGAAGTATAAGAGATATAATTACAAAAAGTTGAATAAAGTTTTGTCCGCCGCGCCGTCGGATGGCAAAGACATTCCAATGGTGTTGCGGTTCGTGCATGGAAAGCTCTTTTTTTCTTAGATTTCGATAATCAACACTAATTATAGTTAGGACGAATTCATAAGAGATTATAATTACAATTACAACTTGTAGATATATTTTTATCCTGGGTAAATATGCTGATAATAATGTAATGATAATTTAATTTTACTTATCTCTGACACTTCTGAGTTTACGTATATAATGTAAGTATCATCAAAGACATGAAACAGTTGTGAATCTTAATCTTACCGACTTCAAAAAATTAAAACATTCTGAGTTCAATAGTTTTAATGTTTGTATGCTAATCAATGTCAATGATTATTTTTTTATCCAAATTTTGTGGGACTTATGAAGTTTAATATTTATATCAACCAAGATAACAAAATAATGCGTATTTTGCTTTCTTAGAAGTAGTTTTTGTAATGTAACATCGCAGCCAGTTGCACAAAAGCCCATTAAATATCTACTGGTTTAAAGCAACATTACCAATACAGAATTTCAAATTTAGAACATTCATTAGAGTTTAAAGTCGTCATTAAACCTAATGGACGTTTGTGTAACTGTAATATATATTCTATTGAAGTCAATTGGAGATTTACGGCCTAACTTCAAAGAATTTTCATATTAATTAATATTATTCAAATTTTTGAAGCCGGTTATTATTATATTATTTTAATATCATATAAAGATGCAGTAGATGTACTTAACAGTTAATGAAAATACCCATATCTAAAGGTATGAAATTCATTCCAACCGAAAGGGATGATACTTGGGTAAAAAAAAAGTAAATCTATTCAGTCCTTATTTTATTTGGCTTCAATTAACAACAAATTGTTTAGATAAGGCGTTAAAATTGAGGAGTAGCGTCTTCATCACAACTAAGTATAAAATATAAAAGGGCGTGACGTCATGCGAATTTTCACCTCAATATATGGATGTAATCTATTAATTACGTAAAAATACGTGTTTCATATTCTTAAAAAATTTACCTGACGGACTTACAAACAAAAACTGTCGTTACCCTTAATATAAAGCCTAAATTCTATTAAAACACAGTAGTCTAGAGCATGTAACAAAATTATGCAAGAGCTTTGGAAAGCTTGATTTTTCAGAATGTTGAAGTACTAAGGATATACATCACTCAGTATCCAGTGCGGAGGTCAGGTGCTGGAACATGTGATGGTGGCGGGGAAAAGTAAAGTATGAAAAATTGTAACACATACTGAGGGTAACAATGTGTCACCATTTTTCATAGACGAAAGCTCTTTCAAATATTTATCACCAGCTCTCCGTCTATAAGGTAGTAACAGAAACAAGGGTTATAAAAAATACATGTTGATCTTTATTTAAAATGACTATTGAAAAGTAATTAAATTTTATTTTATAAGATATTTAAAAAAAAGAAGTTAGGACCAAAATGATTACTTATAGATTACGTACTTATAAAAGGTATTTTCTTTCTATCGATTAAAGATAAAGTATTTACTATTCTATATTAAATCGTATCTTCCATTAAAAATGGTCGTAACATGATATTGGTTAGTTGCACAAACGTCCATTATATTTTAATGACGCCATTAAGTGCTAATGAATGTTAAATCTGTATGGGTAATGACGCTTTAAACTAATATCAATTTTAATGCACGTTTGTGCAACTGGATGTATGCATGTTTTTACTATTTTCACTAAACTGAGAAGTAGCTTAAATGTGTCGCCTAAATATTTAGGAATAGCCTGAGATGACTAAATATTTCACCAATAACTAGGAACCACCTAACGTATGCAATGTGCTAGGCATTTCTGTAATATCACAAATCTCAACTGCGCCAAGGGATAAAAGAGAAATTGTTTATTTGGAATAAATTTAAGCTGCTTTGGCACTTCACAAAATTAGGCGTCTCCTAATTAAACTATGCCTTGTTCTAGGTTAGTAAAAACAGGTGTTAATATCTGAGGATTTTACAGGACAACAATTTAAAAGTTTGACATTAAATATAATTATCCAAATAAAGTAATATTTGTGGTTGAAGCCAAAAGTTAATCACAAAATTGCTGTCCTATATAATTAACTAGTGGCCGCCAGCGACTTCGTCCACGTTTTCAATTATTTCTTCGCTCCTTATAGTTGCAGCGTGATGTTATATAGCCTAAAGCCTTCCTCGATAAATGGTCTATTCAACACAAAAATACTTTTTCAATTCGAACCAGTAGTTCCTGAGATTAGCGTGTTCAAATAAACAAACAAACAAACTCTTCAGCTTTATAATATTAGTATAGATATCATGTCAGGTACATGTTTTACCTTTGTAAGGATGTATATAATGTTTTACTGTGTGGCAGGAGCGATGCCGTGGTCGCAGTGGATCGCTTGGAGAACGTGACGCACACGGTGTCACGGATCTTGGACGGATACGATATCCGCCTGCGTCCTAACTTCGGTGGTCAGTAACTGTAACTCCTGCATATTCATATATAGACATCAATCAGTTTTTAGATTTGCAAATAAGATATTGTTTTAGTGAATAATTCCTTGATTGTGTCAATTACATCTAATCACTATGATGAATATCTACTTTTTAGTGCCTTGTCGACAATTTTTTTATGATCGAAATATTTATATGAAACCTTTCTTATAGTTTCAACTAAAACGATTATTAGCGGAATTACCATACCAGTGCAATATAATTATGAATCTCCGATACTTTCGTTGTTACTTTTTTGTTGAAAACATTAATAACATATATATTAATTATAGATAAACTTCTACAAATGTAACGAGTATTTACCCACATAGTATTTTCACCGATTTTCTCACATATGAAACTACTCTGTTTCGCTCTATAATATTTAATATTAACGTCAACTAAATACATATTCGCTGCTTTATGTTCACCTACTAAATATTTGAATAAATATTACTGTCGTCTGCAACATTCCGAGTTTGGAACGTGATTCGCTGCATGTTATTGCAATCCCTGAACCATAAAGATTCAATATTGTATTGGATTTAGTGGTGGCCTCGTCAGCGCTTTGGTACAAGACTACGTTTCCTTGTTTGCATAAAATGTTATTGCTTTACAGGCGACCCTCTGTACGTCGGCATGGATTTAACTATTGCGAGTTTTGATGCCATATCAGAAGTCAATATGGTATGTTGTTGGTTTAGATTTATCTACATTATTTAAAAAGTTTTTTAACTAAAAATAACTATTACTTATAATAACAAATGTACTTATGTAATTTAACAAGTTAAGAGTTTAGAGAATAATTTATTGTTATGATTTGACGTGGAAATTTTACGGTTGAAAATAGTATAATGTTGAAGATTCAAGCTAGGTAAAGTAATGGAATATAAAACCTAATATGGAACATTTCATATTAGGTTTAATATTCCATTACTTTAACATTCCTTCTCAAATTATTTCTAGTAGAGAAAAATTTATAAATTGTCAATAAGTTCAGGAAATTCGCGATCGGTTTATGGACTCGCTTGACTTATTTTAAACTGTATTAAAATTACTATAAAGAGTAATTTCAGTATTTTTAAAACCGTTTTTGGTATACTATTCCATTTTTGCTCATTTCCCTCTGATATTCTACACTTATCGGCCATAATAACCCTATTGAATTTTACGGCCATATTTTGTAGAGCTCATACCATCATAGCACTCTTTCGTAACGACGCCATCAGTTCACGTATAAAAAACTCACACAAATATTTGGGTTGAACGCCTATAAACTGTGTCACATTATTTATGGCGCGCAACACAACAGATTTCATACAATATCTCCGGAGACCAGATCAAAGGTTGACGGACAACGTGTCCCAAATCTACAACCTTGGCGGACGCTCAAGACTCGCTGAGGATGTTTTCGGGTCATAACAAGGACCTCTCCAGCGCGTCCATCGTAATTCATTAAGCTTTTAATAGCATCGGAAAGAGAGCAAGGGCGTCACTTGACACACATCGGCGCCGGTGACCGAGGGGCGGCGTGCTGACTCGCCAATCGATGAGGTTCTTTATTTACAGCGCGCCGCCTCTGCTGCGGGCGCGGCGGTAAGGTCACCGCCCACTTCTTATTATATACATCCTCTATATAAACAATTCATAATTCCATACAAAACGCATATCCGTTCGCAGAGATGAGACTGTTACTATAATGTGTCCACAAATGTCCATTAAGGTTAAACAACGACTTTAAGCTGCAATAAAACATTGTATCGGTTATATCGCTTTGAACTAATGTCAATTTTAATGGACGTATGTGTAATTGAGCAATTGCGGTGTAATTCGGTTCATTTTTTCACTTTTAATTGGTTGTACATTTTCTCAAATCACGCAGTAATATCATAAAAACTTCGATACAAAATGCATTATTAATAAATAGCAGAGGACTGTTAAATTTAGTTTTTATCATAACCTAATCATTGACTGAATATGTAACTTACAGAATATAAAGTTTGATTGAAGTATTTCAAAGAGAAATTTTACATCGAGTTATATTCAATGTTTTGGTAATAACATAATATGATTATTATTTTTTAAACCCTCAATGTAATTAATCCATAGAAAAACTATGCATTATAATTTATTGAATGCTAATTTTACCTAATGGATCCATTAGGTAAACCTCAGTGATTTGTGATAAGAAGGATTGTTATCTAACAATAATACCGAAATATAAGTGAATAAAAAATCTCAGATGACTGAGTGAGACGTCTTCTTTCAGGACTATACAATAACACTTTATCTGAACCAGTACTGGAAGGACGAAAGATTGGCGTTCGGGCTGCCAGACGAAGTCCTCACGTTATCTGGCGACTTCGCCGATAAGATTTGGGTCCCGGACACGTTTTTCGCTAACGACAAAAACAGGTACGCCTTTTATCAAAACTCCATTCGCGTTGAATGTTTGTCAGTAAACAACATCAGGCGTGTAAGCTTGTTTTATTGAGTTAGTGCCCTTTCAGATGGTTTGAGTGAGCACAAACATGAATACGGACCTAATGATTGGTGAATGTTATTACTACACTCTTACATGAATTGTTAACAAAAAAGGTTACATTTACAGATATTCAAACCATTGCCTTAAAATTTTTGCTTGAAGTCTTTTTGGATTTCACTGTAACATGTATGTATCTGTATAACTGAATCCCGCTGGCCCCATGCTGTGCGCCAATGAAACTGAGTTAAATTAATGCCGCATATGCAGAATTTCCAAGAATCAAAAGTCCCAAATATTTGCTTGCATTTGATACTAAAACAACCACAACCTTACTGTTTTAACTCACACCGCCTTGACAAAAATATTCGGCCACCATATCCCGATATCGGACTCTAAATGTTTTGTAAAATTACAATGATTTCCTCGCAGCTGTCATTGATTTTTTCTTTATTATATATATACTCAGTTGTAGTGGGTAACGGTATTATTGTTTATTAGTTTCCTCCACGATGTGACGGAACGCAACAAGCTGGTACGCTTGGGCGGTGACGGCAGCATCACATACGGCATGAGGTTCACCGCGACCCTCGCCTGCATGATGGACCTCCACTACTACCCCCTCGACAGCCAGAACTGCACCGTCGAGATTGAAAGCTGTGTGACTCTTATACTTTTAATAGGGAGCGCTTAAGTCGCTTTGCATCGAGCGCTAGATGGATCACATTTCACGCCGTTCTGTTAACAGACTAACTTCATATTCATACGCCACATTCTACATCTTAAGGGAGTGCTTGCAGATTTGTTTGCGAGTTGTTTATAAAAATTATAATTAAGTCAAAAATATTCAACAGATTTTTTGAAATAAGTCTATTAAAGAGGTACAAGGTTTTTCTTATACAAATGACATCAACTTTCCGTCAGTGTTTAAATGTCTAATCTTAAATAACTCTGTATATTAATAAAAACTGCATTAAATGCGTGCAGACAGTGCGGAAGAGACTGTTTTATAACTATGTATAGAAAATATTTATTTCAATAAAATTCTTGTAACAAGATTTGATGGGTATGGATACGATAGGACATGGGTAATGTGGTGGGATGTTTTAAATTTATTGTTTTATATAGATTTTAAATTCATTGTTTTATATAGATTTTAAATTTATTGTTTTATATTTCTCAACGTGCACCAAACATAACAAAATTATTGACAGGACGTCAGTAAGTTTTGTGACAGATAAGTACATTTTGCTTCGAGCACCAAATGGTTCCAGACACGACATTGCACTCAGCGACACTAAGCTTATCGATGACATCCATTCGTTAAAACATTTACAAAATTTTATTTCGACAATCTTTATATTTCGAGGAGAACCTAAATGCATTTTAAATATATTTACCATCTATCTCTATAAAATTACATACATTTAATAAAATCATTCTACTTACATCGTTTCGCGCCATTATATTTCTTTCGGCAATCGTTCTAATTATTTGCTGATTCAGTGTTGTTGTAATATAAATTAATAAATCGTTGCTTTACACACTAGATAGTTAATAATTTAAGGTTTTTATATTTATATTTTGTACAAAACAAATATATAAATAATTTCTTACTGCTAAACACAAAACTATTCAATAACACGACATTAAATTCGACTACACAACTAACTAAATAAAAGCTATAGCTTGTAGACTTACAGTATTTAACTTTATTAATTATAATAAAAGAAACAGATAAATATCTATATTAAAATAGACTGTTGGTACTGTCGACTGTGTAAAACACTTTAGGCTGCTAGAGTGCTAAAAATCTAATTGAAATATTTTCCAATAACATTATCTTGTCCTTACTGATTAGTAGGTGCCGGATGGTGACTGAGATATATTCTAGTTGAATTTTTACACTTCAGCAGTCAAAAACTATGGACCTAATTAGACGTCAGTACTAATGATATTTGGTTTTAATATGTATGTAAGTCTGCAAGCTAAAGTTATTGGTCAGTATGCTAACGTATCGGCTACTACAGATGGTTACACCGTGTCCGACGTGGTGATGTACTGGAAGGAGACGCCAGTGCGGGGGGTGGAGGACGCTGAGCTGCCTCAGTTCACCATACTTGGACACGAAACCAATGATAGGAAGGTAATACCCCTCAATGATGTACGTTATCATTAGCAGAATTGAGTCCCTGCACGCGTGGCACAGAGTTGGAAAATTCCATTAAATTGTTATTTGTTACGTTAACATCAGATGAATATTAATTTATTTATATATTGACCCACACAAGCACGGTACCAAAAGGCGGACTTAATGCTAATAGCAATGGTATATCAATTGTAAACGACTGTTTGTTTCCTAAATAAATAAAATAAATAATAGCATTCTCTCCCAGTAAACCGTTGAGAAAATTGTCAAACGCGATGGCGGTACAGAACAACCAAAATAGGTGAATAATTTAAATAAACTACAACAACAGTAATACTAATCATTCCTAAGATTCTATATTATGAGAAAACGACACTATGTGAAGTTCTCTAACTGGGGATTTCTTTTGGACACCTTAATAAAAAATTACAAAGTTATCTCTAAAATTCAACTTGACCTATTCAATCGATTGCTATATACGGAATCTGATTTTTTACTGAATAAATAAAACCTTTATGTTGTGATGAGTTTTACATCAATTGCAATTTTATCACCATCATCGACAGCTGTACGACGCCCACTGCTGAGAATAGGCCTCTCCCATAGATCTTCAAGACAATCGGTCCTGCGTTGCCCGCAATTAATTGTAATTGTTTAAATTAAATAATAAAAAAAAAATCGTATTGACTGGTCCACAGATTTCAGTTCAGTTCGCGGTCTAGTTTTACCTTTCAGCATACCTTTAAATAACTAATACTCTTGTATTACGAGTCTCAAAAGTGTAACCCAGATAAGAGACAACACGGACAACTTCATTTAATACAAGTTGAAAAGAAAATTCTGCGTCTCACGAAAAAGATGCCTAAATCAATATAATTTCCCATATTCTAGTAATTTACTCCTATTTAATTATTTTCAAAAATATTAATAATATATTTTTTAATATTGTAAATTATAGGAGAAGCTGGCGACGGGCGTGTATCAACGATTGTCGCTGAGTTTCAAACTACGCAGGAACATCGGTTACTTCGTGTTCCAGACTTACCTGCCGAGCATTCTCATCGTCATGCTCTCCTGGGTCTCTTTTTGGATTAACCACGAGGCAACTTCAGCAAGAGTTGCTTTAGGTACATTAAATAATGAGCGGTAATATCTATGGATAAAACCACAGAACATCAGAGAGACGTTATAAGAGCTTCGTGAGTGTAACAGGCGCTTCAAATGTCGCCTAACTACAATACCATTCAATTTGTATGTTTATTGAAACGAAGATCGAATGTTAAGATAGCAGGAGAAAGAGATATTCACTATTCTAATCTATTTTTCAACATAAAACTGTAGTTCGTTTAACGATAATCTTAAGGTTATAGACAAACCTAACCGACACTACCTGAATAAGCGATGCCTATAACTCGTAGGAATCAAAATGATACCCGAGGACTTATTCTATCACGGACCAAAATCCAGAATATTTTTTTTAATTCTCATAATTTTGTTAAAATCATATCCGTGAAGTTATCTGTACATCAGAGGCATTGTTGGCCTGCCCCTGTTGCTTACCTATATATCATAAATAATCCAGAAATGCATTGTCATGTTAATTTATATGAGTACTAAGACTTCGCTGTCTGTCTGTCACCAAGTTCTCATGAACCGTGAAAGTTGGACAGTTGAAATTACCACCGATGATGTATTTCTGCTGCCGCTTTAACAACAAACCAAAAACCAGAATAAAATAAATATTTAATGGGGTTCCCATACAACAAATCTGATTTTTTGGCTCGTTTCATATACGGAACCCTTCGTGCGCGAGTCCAACTCATACTTGGCTTTTTAGTTTTAGTAAGACAGCTTTATATTATCATTTTTCAAAACACAAACTTCAACCTTATAGTTGTAAGTCTTCAGTACTAGTCATACATCTAGTATTTTAAGTTACAAATAAATATCTTGCAATATCGATTCAAACAGGAATAACAACTGTGCTGACTATGACTACGATCAGCACAGGTGTGAGGAGCAGTCTACCCCGCATATCCTATGTCAAAGCAATCGACATATACCTGGTGATGTGCTTCGTGTTCGTATTCGCCGCATTACTTGAATATGCTGCGGTCAACTATACGTATTGGGGTGCTAGGGCAAGGAAAAGGGCCAAATTAAAGAACCGAGATCAGTTGTCTACGAGCACAAGTATTGAGAAGGATTTGAAATGTTCCGCAGGTGAGAGTGTAGAGGAGAAACTTGATGAAAGATAATGTTTATTTTTATAACGAGATACTAAGGTACTAACGGCGATAATGGCAACTAGTGTAAGTAGTTTAAATAGGAATAATGTTACACAAGTCGTTGCGTCAGCAAAAATAGGCGTAGCCGTAGCCAAAGAGCATATAAATACTCGTAGCACTGTAGCAGCATAAGTGGTTGTAGTCCTATACGTACGCCTACTAATTTACTTTTTTTTATGCGTAACAAAAAATTTGTATAAAACTTAAACATGCTTTTCACAAAATAATAAGTTGATAATCTAATTAGTATATTACATTAATTTAGATTCAGCAGTTTACAAAATTTTATATAAATAGCACATTCTAATTTTTCATAGTTTCTTCTCTAACCTAACTGACAATGCCTAGTATTAGTCATTTAACTTGAGTGTAATAATACAAACATTCGATTTCTGGAAGGGTCTCGGTCAGCAGAGGAAATCATCGCACTTCGCGAGTACCCAGCTAGTACAGGGCGGGTATCACCACTGTTGGGTCTTCGCTCGAAGCCATTGCAAGCAGCGACTGGCGCGCCCCCCTCCTTGCGTCTGCAGCGAGACCACACTAACCTGCGCTATCGTACGCGGCCGCACTCCAGGACCTCCAGGAGTTAGTAACTGCTTTCATTTTCAGTACCTATACAGCTACTGCTGTGGCAAAACTGCAATAAATTATTGTACTCACGACATTGACTTCTTGGATTTAGTGACAAGCCCTGATTCTATAAGAATTCAGAGAATTTGAATTCGTCAAATTCACTCATTCACATCGTTTAGTGTATGATTCCAATTTTTATGTAAAATATGATATACGTGTCTCAGATATTCTATTCCTACTCACTTCGCTTATGCTATAAAGCGTTATTACTAATTCAAGGATGAGCGGATGTCTCTTTTTTGAAGTGAATTTTAATTCTGGTTCGGATTTTTACAGATTCGCAGGGCAGTTTAGTGATATTATCGATGTCATAGGTATATTTAAATGATATTTCTAATAATAATTGTTTAACTTTAATACCCGGTTACCAGTTTGATTAACAAAATCTTAAATAAATATATATTATGTTCAAAGTTTTGTTCAAAGAATTACTTTACGTTCGTACAGCTTAGCTCCCATAATATGTTTTTTTTTTAAATAATATTATGTTCTTTTGAAATTAATAACAATAAGTAGTTTATTTTTATGACCAGCACTTTCAAAGTATGGTTCGTTTTGAATGATGTCCCAAATACCTATGACAGCGTAAGATTCCACTACAAAACTTCTATTACGAAAATGCTTGATTTAACTGTAACTTTGACATGTATTCTTACTAATAAACAATTTAACGTTTTATATATTCTAGATAGTTCCAATACGAAACCTAAAATGATCCATGCATTACGACGTGGTGCCACAGTCATCAAGGCGTCAATGCCGAAGATACGTGACGTCAACGTCATCGACACATACTCCCGTGTGATATTTCCCGTCAGCTTCCTAGCATTTAATGCCATTTACTGGGTGTTCTACATTTTCGACTGAACCAAAAATATTATCAGAACGATGGTGAAAACAGGAAATTAATATAAATCTCTGCGGTAACTAATGTGCGTCTTCTACTCTATCGGTTTAAGTTCTATTTGAGTGTTACACTTATGAAAATTATAGGAGAGAACTCTACCATCAGTTTTTCTTATTGAAAAAAAGAAAATATTGAAAACCTTTTATGTGCCGATAGTATCTAGATAATATGAGCCAAGATATATTTATTAATTATGAACTTTATCGATAAGACTATTCATTATTGAGGGACAAATGCAAACTTCATGGCATAACTGATACGTCATTATCCAGGAATTGGCGAGAGTGAAATTGAAACTGTAAAAAACGAGCAATAAATTAATCGTATGCATAAATATTATCTATATCATTATAAATTAGTATAAATGGCGACAGCAACAAGTAAATTTTAAATAATTAACACTTATTGGCGTGTTCAAGAGTTGTCATTTACGTCATGTGTACATTTTTGTAAATTTAAGTAATTTTCATTCGATTGAATGCTATGTGCCAAATGTGTGCCAGAATTATTTCATTCATTCAAAGTTAATAATGTTTGTAGTTTTAAATGTTAGTAGATAATATAGTGCATTATTTGCATGTGTTATAACTGCGAAATTCATTAATTTTCCCACCGAACCATCATAATTAGCGATTAATACCAAATCGGACGCTTATGTTTTATAACGAATAATGAATGATAAACAAGGAATCTCTCATTAATATTAAATAATAATAAACAAGGAAGCTCTCATTAACATTAAATTATTGCTATTGAATAGTTAATACAAAAAAAGGTTAATAAAGGTGTTGTTTATTCATTAATAAATTGTTCTTTTATCTCTGTTTATTTTCTGAATAGTCTCAAGTATTTTTAAGTTAAACAAAGAGCTTGTATATCAATACCAACAAATGTATCAGTAAGTAAAATGGCAACAGGAATTTTTGAAAATTTGCATAGCATTTGTTGGCATTATAATAGATTATGTTTTAATATTAATAATAAATACACTTCTTCTCAATATTGACACTACCGCATATCAGACAGATAAATTTATAAATTGTATATTTTTGTGTTATTTTATCGTAAGTACAGTCAACAGCACGTCAAGTTATACAACTCTGTCAATTTTCTCCTTTTAATTTTAAACCTTAATGCATTGAGGGCACAGTGAGGGGTAGAGTGAAAATTTTTAATGTTTCGGTAACTTGACGTATTGCTGTGGATATGTAACAGACAACTGGTTTAATTCATAATCCTCCATTTTTTGTGATTGTAAATAAATACTAATACTAGAAAAAACAATAAAATAAATCCTAATAAATTCTCCAAGAATAAAATCCACATAATAATCATCTGAAACACCATACCGACGTCTTCTTATTCACAAACACAACGCTGTCACACTCTAGCCATAGAATACGACTGTGAATACGACAGCTTAGTGTTTCTTTTTATGTTACTACTATGACATGTCCTTTAATATCTAACACCAAATGACAGCGAATGATGAATATACATATGACAGCATTGTTTCCAACTTAGTAGTTGATCTCAAATATATCCACCAAAAGACATGTCAAAATAGTAAAAGAAAACGAAGGATATTCACTAAGATGTCGACTCCTATGGCTATAGTTGGCAATGTTTAAAACCAATAAACAGAAAAGAAAAGTTAAAAACTTTGATTTAAACACACACCATGTTTTATATGATGGTCGTGGGTCGGATTCTCCTTGTAAAGACATTTATAACAGGAATTTTCTTTTCTACCCTATAAAATCTAATATTTTCATTTAATTAAATATAACCTTACAGTAGATAGGTTAATTACATTGAACCTCTCATGACCTGACTGGACTGGAGGCTGGAAAAATATATTATTAATTAACGTTACATATGTGTCGTACCCATTTTAAGTTCATTTTGAGTCATCTATGATGATACAACTACAAAAAATAGGTTCAAAATAATTTAAACCAGTTGGCTGCAATATAATAAGCGACAATTGATTTTTGATTCAGTTAAAATGTACCTATGGAATTTTCATAAGGACAGATATATGATAATATATTGAATTGTAAATAAAACGATCAATAAATATTTAAATAAAATAAAATCTAATATATGAATACCATGAAAATGTAGTTGAATTGTATGTTCAATACTTATTAGTAAAGATTGCAAGCCAATAGTTATAATAAAGAGATGATGTATAATAAAGTTTTATTAACGAATATGCTGATGATTTATTGAAGTTTATATTTTTTTCCACGCGAATGTTTCCATTATATTCAATACCCTAATTCTAATTATTTGACATTATTTTTCTAACATTTCATAGATAATTCACGTCACATATTTTGAAACTTTTATTTTTATTGTATGATTATTAAAATTCCTTCGTCTCAGAAGTATTATCATAATCATTAAACATTTTTGTAGTATGGTTTGTTCTCAAAATATATTTATCTTTTAATACCAAACAAAGCTTGTATATATAATCAGATTTTGCAATGGCCTGGCCCGTGTGAATATGATAATCTATTCTGAGACGGAAGGCTATATGAACTTAAATGGAAATATCACACAAAAATGGAAAATGATTGAGTATTTTTGTGTGTGTGTTCCACGATATATTCTTCAGTAGGACTGGTATTAATGCTCTTTTATGTGATAGTACATATTCTCGAACTGATCTCTATTAAATTCTTTTCAAAATCAGAAGTTTATTGAACTTGATAACGGCCTTTATAGTTTTAATAAGTATTTTTCGTTGTTTTTTTAATCTGGTACATAGTTAAAATTTCATTAATTTGGTGGTTAGCCGTTTACATTCAAATAAAAGGCCAGCTATCCAAGTGTATGGCTGTTCTAACCAGTTTGCTACGGCACAACACGACGTGATGATCGACAGCTTTCTTATTATCTTAATATAATCTCAGATCAAATTATAAATATTAACTTCTGTGTTTATGTGGTAACAACAATTTCACAATTCTTCTATTTGTTTACATTATTCAATGCAAAAACAACTGCCATCTATTAAAATTACAGTGATTCAGATGCAACTTAGTAGAGCGATCCCTTTTGAAGTCTCTGTGCCTCTTAGCCTAGTCAATGCCATCTAACGTATTTTGGCAGAATTCGGTTATATAGTTGTTTGAACCTTCGTTGAAAATGTGAAATTAAGTACGTTATATTTTCAGAAGGCTTTCAGTTTAATGTAGGTTTATTATATTAACAATAAAAAATAAGAAGTTTATGACAAACGAAGGAACTGTGCATATTGTAATTTTTTTATTTATTAACACTGACAACGCAATATTAATTAATATTTTTAGACAAAAATAATATTACATTGTTTTTAAATAATTTTAGGTTTGAGTATCCTTCTTGATTGTCTTATAAATAAAAAAAAAATCGTAGTAGGTACCTATTTTTTATAATTCATATTTTATTTATATTTACATATGAGAATCGTAATGTCGTTCCTATTGAATTTTATTTATAATCATTACCTACATCTATTTTCATCGAGCGTTATTCAGAGTGGCCGATACAATAAATGTAGAGAGTGTTGAAAGGGATTTATATAGGGAGCTCTGTATGGGCGGCCGGTTCCATTCATTGACGCGGCGGGAGGGAGCGCGGGGGCGGCAGCGCGCGCAGCCTCAGCTCCACCAGCCCTTAGCTAGCCTAGTATCAGCTTTAGCCTCGCGTCGTCATCACACGGTGGCCCACAGCCGCCACAAAACACTCAACATACATACCTGTGTTAATCTCTACCTTGTGAATTGACAGTGCCATAAGTAGTACCTATTTGATGTGAGGTTAATGTGCTGCTTTCACGGATTGCAAGACGTAGTTTACTTTAGCTAAAGAGGTAAGCGTTTTTTTAAATTTTAATAACTCATTTACATATTTTGTACTTACACTGTGATTTTTTATTATTATTCGAAATATCAATAATTACATAGGATCTGGTCACAACGAAATTCGTGGGCGGATGGAGGTGTTGAATTTCAGGCTTTCGGATAGCGCGAGTGTGCGGGACTCGGGGGCGGGCGGGGACAATTCACCGCGCACCTACCCCCGTATTGATCGCTCAATTTATACACACAATTTCTAAATATTATTAAAATAAAAATATTAACTATTATCATTGGTAGAATATACAAATTTATTTTATCTATCCAAGTTATATTGATCACAATCCTACTAATATCTTATTGCCTTTGTACTAGTATCAATGAATATGTGATTGTTACCTATTTCATCTAACTGAATAGTGGCATGCATATAGGTTTTGAAAAAATGGTTCACTGATCTTTCTAGGTTTGAGCACTCTGGAGCTGCTATACTCATAGTATAAGGTAGCTTAAAATTTGAATAAGTATTATTTTTATTCTGCTGAGGTCCCCAATATTTTGGGAGACGAAGTGTCAACCATTGAGTTTTTTCTTAAACAACGCTTCTTAATCCGATATATCCATGTTCGTAAACAACTTAATAAAAATTAAGTCTAGTTCAATATTTCCATACGAACAAGGATGATTTGTCCTTCAATGCTCTCACCCATCATGGCGGGTTATGCAAAACTGTAATAGTTCTGTAGTAATCTCACATTTTTTTGCATATCTCTAACACTGCGTACTGCGTAGAGTAGAATTTCACAAACGTCGTAGATGAGCGCCTACATTAGACCTTAGTTTTAATATTCAGGTCCGGTTAATAGGCTGACGTTTAAACCCACTTGCAAACTTTTCAAAAACATTTTAATTGGCCACTAGAACAGTTGTTCTTTTCAAAACTCTAGTTATAGGCTTAAAGCAGAAGGCAGGTATTAAGAATCTACATAGGGGAAAAAGGATTCAACTTAGAAAATCAATAGAAACGTTAACTTACATCGCGTCTTAAATTTCCTAATATATAATAAGAGTACTTTTTAGACACAAATGAAACAAATTAATATTTATAATAAGCAAATATTTCTTGGTATATTTAAAGACCTAAAAAAAGCCTTAGATACTGTGGGGCATGACTTGGTCCTTAAAAAAGCTAGTACACATAGGTGTCACTGATGTATTAAAGTATAAAATGATAAGCCCTTACTGGTGAAATCATAACTATGAAGTTAATTTTGATGACTAACATTAATTGGCGTACCACAAGGATCAATTTTAGACCCGCATAAATAACTAAGCTATAATTTTTACTTCATTAAGTTTGTTATATGCTCTCAAGTGAATTTTCAATGAAACTAATGATCTTATTCATTATGTACGGTAATAACGGTGAATAAAAAATATAACATACATTGATAAACTCCCACAATACGACATCATGAAAAATTATTGCGATAGCTGCTTCAAAATGTTTATTAAGGTCATAGTAAAATATCTTGAACGATCGAGTAAATTTTTACTTACTTCATTGTATTAAAGTAAAAAAAAAACCTGTTTCCTCTAAAAAAATATCTTACGATAATATCTGTAACAAAGTAAATAAAGTATTTCTCAATGGTTCAGACGTCCAGAAATAATAAATCCCACTTTTAAAGATTATTTTGTACATTAGACATAAGTTGTTCATAATAATTCAGTATCTTCTTTAAGGATAAGACGTTAGTAGGATAATAACTCTGAGGTTGATGATGTAAATGTCTATAAATGTCATAAATCCTCTTAATTTGCAATAAATGTGGACAAAAAGATATTTATTGTTACGTGTGTTAAAACACGTAACTATCATATTTAGTAGCTGTTTCTATAAAAAACAAAAATCTAAACTTTGAAATGATGATTTGAAAAACCATCGATCGTGTAGGTTGAAAGAATCCTCAGGTTAAAAATAAAACTGAGCCAGCCTCTAACTGTAAGGTTCCCACTGCGTAGAATGCGCGGCTGGTTGCGTGTTGAATGGGCTCCAGATCAACAAGTAGCTCGTAAGGTACAGAGCAACAGAGCGCCTGCGCGAACCGCTTCCCAGCATCATGGCCGCCGTATCTCAGCCTAATTCGAGAGACTGTGTTTTAATTAACAGAATATGGAGGTTTTGCGCCATGAAGTAGCCAAATTGAGTTTTAACATATTGGTAAAGTGACATCAAGAATACAACACTAATTTGGAACGTAATTAAACTCATTTATCAGAATTGGTAACGGTGATTTTGTGAATAAATTAATTGATTTACATAGAAATATGATTGAAAGTAAACGATATTTGAAAACTGCAAGAAAACTTTAACTGAGGAACAAATTACGTTGCAAGAAACATCTTTTGAAGAGGTGCCGATGAGATTTTTTTTATTTGACAAATTTCTTGGGATAGATATATATATATATATTTTGCCTAGTCAAATACTTTTTTTATGTAGTTAACGCGACAAAAAAATAATATTTGTGATTTGTTAGTAATCCAACCTAACCTTACCTTCTCCTTTTACATTTTGAATTCGGTTAAAAAACGAGGTATAAACTCAAAGTAATTACATTATTTCAGAAGATGATGGTGTTTCAATAAATCGCATATTCCAGTATTGATCTATTTCGGGCCCAATTTTATTCATATAGTTAAATCTTGATAAATCATTAGTTGACAGATATTATGTTTGTTATTTTTAGATTTTGACAAGGACTATGTCCAAAAAATATGTTATAAGCTGTTAACGTTCAAGTACATGCTTACGTTATCAGAATTAATTCTGAGCATCTTAAGATGCTGGGGTCTAGCTGTCTAATTTTAAATCTATCGCAATCTTCGAGCCTTTTGCGCAGCATCAATGAGAGTCGTCAGTTATATATTACTGTACTTATTATCCGTAAATACCTAAGTGAACATATGTGATATAATATACAGACGAATATAGAACATTCTCGTCATCACTTGAGAACGGCTGGCTGGTTCGAATCAGCCATTACTTTAGCCATTCAATTATATGGAATAACGAAAAATAGAATCAAAGTAACAAGAATATCTATGTAAAAAAATAATCTATAATATAAAGAACATCTTCCATCTTAAAAAGATCAAATTTTATATCAAATAAAACGCAAGGTGCGGTATTGTAAAATTTTAAATTAGCAAATATTATAAACAGGAAAAACTTTTTGTTTGTATATTTATTTCTATCCAAAAGACTCCAAAACTACTGGATCGATTTTAAAAATTCTTTTAACTATTAGTAGCTACATCATACGGAGTTTACATATAGCCTATGTTAATTTTTTTTTCAGTTAGTGTGACGTGACGCACGTCATACAGTCTCAATTTTTAACTCTTTGTTTATAAAAAAAATTTCGCGTAGGTGGAGCGATAAGTGGCTACTAATAACATTATAATAATAAATATTTCTCAATAACCCGTCTGACCCCATCTCGAGCGCTGGAGCTAGTTATTTACCGGCCCTTATCTGTTTGTTTGCAATTATCAGACAGAGATAGCGCTTTGTTTACCTATTTTTGTAATTTTTTTTCACAATCCAATGTGTTTGTGTTCTGTAGGGAACGGTGCGTGGGCTGGTCAAGCGAGCCATGGTGTCTCAGTTACGTGTGAGAGGCGGCCGAGCGCCCTCCGCGCCTAACACCTAGGCGATGCGTGTCCCAGCCCCGCGGTCCCGCGTGCGCGCCAACATGCCTGCGCCAATCGCGCTCTATATCATCTCCGTCACCTTCTTTTGGCTATGCGGTAAGTTTGCCAAAGTTCGGTGTTCTATCATTAATACTCAAAGACATATACGTATATACCCTATCGAGTACCAACGTAATACTGAGTAATTATTATGTTTCGAAGGTTGTCAAATGAAATTATAACGTATCTCTATGTTGTATTTAGCTCTGCTCAACTAATAACGTGGATAGATGTAGAAACGGTCATTGAGCCATCAAATCTGAGCATTTTCATACTTAAGAAAATAATTATCAATGTTAAGTAAATTCAATTCTCTGCAAATGGAGTGAATAGATGTATTGATAGATAAAACTCATTACTCTTCATTTCTTTTGGACAGTGAGCGCAGACGAGCATTCGCCGGTTGGCGGGACCCGTCCCACCAATGGCTCTGTGGGCCCCGCCGATCCGAGATCTGTGATGGGACGTGTACCACCGTACCAGCCGCCAGCCATTGGTGCGGGACCCATCTCAATGCAGGGACCTCCCATTTTCCGGCCCCACAGTCCTTATACACGTGTAGAACCATGGAATCGTAAGTAATGAAAATAATTAAAACTTTAAAAATTTAATAAACAGCGCAACACATTTCATTTGAAGTCTGTAACCGTCATCGTCGTCTTTATTTAGTGTTTACTTTATAGATTTATATTCTTTTGTAGCACACCCGATGTTTGAAAAACATCCTTTCGACGTTGTCGCGGAAGACATGGATGGTAATGACGATGACGGAGGTTGTAACCAACCGTGTCTCAAACAACATTTTTCGTGCCAAGTGAGTATTACTTTATAAATATGATAATAATGATATCAAAAGAGATGAGAAAAGAAATCAGCTTTTTTATTTTAGGGCTATCGAGCTCGTATTCAAAATTATCGTATAAAAGTTCACATAAAAGTTGTTAGCAGAGCTAGGTTATACGGTGGAAGGCAGGCACAATAAATCAAACAGACATACACGCAATTCAACTTTGTATTTACCATAAATACACGTATAGAATATGAGACTTCACATTGTTAACTATTATTCTAATTATATATAAACATTATTGAGATTAATATATTTGTACAGGATGTTACTTGTGTCGTAGTCAGTGAGGAAGGGAGCAAGCGACAGTTCCGCTTTTGCCAGAGACAAAAAAAATATAGACAATGTAAAGCATTGATTCACGTATACAGTAAATAAGGTGTGGCATAGACTATCCAACAAAAGTTACATTACAGCTTGTTAGTCTTTCTTCGATCCGAGGTTAGGTTAGATCATCTAAAAACAATATACGATACAAATACACCATATTTTTCACCTTTGACTAATACACCGATAATTTCTGGCGGTATACTAGCGATCTATCTGCGAAGGAGTCATATGGCGGTTTGTGGTCTGCTCTAACTCTGTCAAAGGACAAGTTTATGTCATTGCAGTGGCTTAGATTCATAAGTTATTGCTGAAGATGATATTAATTCAATTCTTGTTCCAGATATCCTGCACATGCATCGCAATGGAGAAGCGTTGCGATGGGATAGCCGATTGCGCAGAGGCTGAAGACGAAGCGGGATGTGCACGTTCCTGTGACGAGAGCGAGAACCGCACCATCTGTCAACATACCAACGTGTGCATCGCTCTCAGCTGGTTGTGTGACGGAGACAACGATTGTGGCGACTTCTCTGATGAAACACATTGTGGTACATATGATCTTAACATCGGATTGTCCTATTTACTACAGTCTCAAAGACCTTTCCTTCAATAAAAGTAAAATAACAACTTTTTATTGTTTTTCTTTTTGTTGTTGTTTAAACAGGTGGGGCAAATTGCACTTCAGATCAGTTTCAATGCAGCAACGGGCTTTGCATCCATAAAGATTGGGTTTGTGATGGCGACAACGATTGCCGTGACAACTCCGATGAGACTAACTGCACCAAGGGCAAGTAAGTACTAGCTACTACTAAAATTATATAACAAAACCTCTAGACGTAAATATTGGAATGTCATTTAACTCAAATTACATCGTGGATAATGCATAGCTTGTACTATAAGATTTGCAGGGTTAACAATATTGGAATCATATTCGGGAAGGCTTATTGAGGAAATCTGGTTAGGTTAGGCTCTGCCGATAGGCATAAACGGAATATGTTCCAATTTAAGCAGTGGTGCTTTGAGGCTATAGATTTCATAGTGATACAAAAAAAATATATAAGTTCATTTGTGACTATATTCTGATTATATACATCGAAAACTTTTTCGATTAAGTTTTCGTAAACAGAAACTCTATTAATAATAAATAAAGTCTGCTTTTGTACAATGAAAAATATACGGTAATATATGTTATGGTAGATTTTTTGAAGAGCCGTTGCATTTATGATGTAATAGAGGGATGAAGGTGACTGTGGGTCTGAAGGAGGAGGTGGCTGAATATAACGACAATACGCGTATCGACGTTTTTTAAAGGAACAACGTATTTTATGTTCCACGAGGCTTAAAAATGTCATCTAATAAGTGCGCTGTATTGTTGAGCTTGATCCGGTCTTAATGCTTCCACTGCACATAGAATTAGATTTCATGAAGCAATTAATGAAGACCCTTCTTCAACAATCCGAGACCATTTTTCACGGAAATGTCAAAAGCCAAAATCAGAGCCGGTTTCTTGTTGGTCCACAAAGTAAAAAAAAATGGCGAGTGTAAAATCCATGGCTTGCTTGATAACAAGATGGAGCTTACTTCTTATATGCTTGACAGCTTCAAAGTCACGGGTTGTAGAATATGACTCAAGGTGCACATGCTTCATGCTAACTTGGATAAACTCAAAGACAACTCGGGTGAATATTCAGGAAGGCAAGGCTAGGGTAGTTCCACTAGGATATTATGAATTTTGAATAACGGTATCAAGGACAATATAATAGAAACATGATGAGTCATTACACCTGGGGTCATACATGAAATATCTGCATATTTAAAAAAAATACCAAAGCTATGTGTTTTGAAAATAAATAGAATACATAATTCATAACTTGTTTTTATTTTAAGTATAATGAGGAAGTATTTTAAGAAATAAAAGAAAGCAAAAAAGTTTACGTCTTACAATAAATAAGAACCAGACAGTACTTAATTCGAACTCAGTGATTCCAAAAAGTGATGTTTAAGTTTTAATTTAATATTATTTTGTGTTAAAGTATTGTTTAAGGAGGGGGGTAATTGATTAATCTTGGAATCTTCATCATCAGATATTGTGTTATTCTTTCGCCGTACTTATTATTTGCGCGCGATGTGATGGAACGCGTGTATGTAGTATGATTATTAAATAAAATAATCATCCTAAATTATTATTTTTTTAATTACATCGTGAATAAAAAAATGTTCCTTGATTAAATTATATTCAAATTGTTGATGGATTGTTAAAACCCTACAGTAACGAAAAAGGTCTAATTGGTTAGTTTTTGTTTCTTTAACTCCGGAGATACGATTGTTTTTAATATTCTTAGTTGTAGTTTGTTTATGCTTTTTAAATATGTAGTATAAGTTCGTCCATAGGTAGTAAGTGTGTACTGAATGTACGATGGCTGGCTAGCAGTGAATTATATTGCATCATCTTAATCTTAAATCAAATACGATCTTTTATTATTTTAATGTTAGCTAAAAATCGCCTTATTTTATAACAAACTCGCTCAATATGAAGTGCTCAGTTAAATCTGTCGTCGATAATAACCCCGAGATAAGTGTGAGACTTTACTACCACAGGGCATTTACAATCGGTCCGACAGGAATCGTGCAAACAAGCATGATCATGAACAATTATATTGCCAAGTGAGGATTATTTTAAGTACGCATATTTAATATATAAGTTTTTTTTACTGGCGTACAAAATTAATTGTTTATAAAAACGTTAGATTACAAATGTTTTCGATACAACAAACCTTATCTAGACTCCTTAGAACATTATAATATGCCAACTTTGGAGACACGCCGTAAGTTGGCAGATATGGTGATTCTTTATAAAATAATTAATAATAAATTGCCTCCTCTGCATTGCTATCATCTTTGCCTTTCAACGCAATCAGTCGTAGACCATCATCCTGGCGATGCCATGTTTGTGCCTCCTCAACTCAAAAAAATTACACAAGAAGCTGTTTCCTTCACCGCAGCTTTATAACAAACAAATTTCTTAAAGCATGACAAATTTCACTTGATATTTTACCACAATAGGTTTATTTAAATGTAATCTTATATTTTTTTTAACGTATTTTTCATAAAGTGAGCTAGTGTGACGAAAGGGCTTGCATACATTAGCATTAGTTCGCTTTTATTGCAAAGGAATAAGCCTTATGCTGCGGGAGTTCTTTCGTCAGACAAACTTTAGTGTTTACGTTTGCACGGCAGAGTTACAGACTCTTTAATATATATAAAGTAATTTATTGACACTCAATGTTTTTTTCGTATTTAAGTCTATATTGTAATAAAATTTAAAATGACTGTTTGTGTCATAAATAAATTTTAAAAAAGTCAGCCCAGCATCATGACACCATTTGATAAGGTTATCAAAATCGGACTGAAAACACTTTGTAGCTTCTTGCAATTCCCTTCTATCAATTATCAGGCAGGTATCATCGGCAAATTGATGACATACAATTTTCAATACTGTTATTCATGTTATTTACATAAGATAAAAAATATAAGGGACCCAAAACTGATCCCTGTTGAACAAACACCGTATCACTATAACTATTGTGAATTTTAACTACAAAATTACGATCCTTAAAATAATTTTTACATAAAGCTAATAATGGTCCCCGTATACCGCAATCTTCTAATCTTTTGTACTAATTCTATATGGTTAAGGGTATCAAATGCAATAAAAACCGCCAAAACATGTTTTTTATACTTTAAATATGTATTCACTTGATCTGTTAAAGTAGAAAGAAGCTCTGTAGTGCCTTTCTGAAAACCAAATTGATTGGGAAAAATCAGCTCATTTGTTTTATAGAAACTGTATTTTTCACCAATATATTGTTCCACTATTTTATCTATTGGGGATAGCAGAGTTACAGGACGATAATTATTATAATCACTTCTGCTACCTTTTTTAAAAATAGGTCGGACACAACCTATTTTCAACTTGTTTGGTTACCTAACCTGTTTTACGCAACTGTTTACAAGATTTGCTATAACAACTGACATACATTTACTTACCATTTTCACATTTGACACTTTTTATACTTCCTCATTGAAATAAAAAAATAGAGCGTTTCCTTTAAATTTGTAATTTCGTTCTGGAAACAACACAAACAAACTTTATTAGATAAAAATATTTTTCCTTTCTTTAGTTAGCCATAACTAATCATAATCAGAGGTTCAGAACCTAGACTCAAAATTCATGATGACCTGTGTAAATTATCGTAATCATTTCTGTCGTTTCCGATATCTATTTGGTTCAACTCCTCATAAGTCGCGCAACTAAGTTCTATACAATTTTTATTGTGAAAGAGAAATGTCTTGTGGAAAATTGAGTACCTATTAGGTATTCCTGCGAAGGTCCGTCGATAGTCACATATATATTTTCTGAGTATGTCTAAACCTATTAATTTTTATCCGACTTCAAAATCGAAACGGAGGAGGTTTTATATGTTCGACGGTGATGTAGGTATGTTTTTTATGTATGTTCATCAATATTTTCATCAATTGTTGACTGATTTTCAAAATTCTTTTCTTATTGGACAGCGTGATGGATCGAGGTGGTCACATTTAAATTTTATCGAAATCGAATAAAAAGTTTTCCTTTTATAACAAAACATATAGCGCCTATCATTTAATTAACAAACTACTGAAAACCTCCGTCCGCCTTCAATAGCATTTTCTTGAATAAGTCTTAAGGTTTTGAGATAAGTATTATTTATCACTTTTTATAAAGTTTGAAGTCGGTTCTCATTTTTATAGAAAGTTTTTATTACGCATAAATTTACACTAAGGTCATATGTTTGGTTGTGATTCCATCCACAACGACGGCATGTGCCCCAACAGTGAAGACATAAGATGATTATGATAAATATTTATTTCATGGTCTTTTCATTATTTGATATGTCACACGATATGGTTTGCAAAACTATTGTATATTCATTTTTTTCTAATAAATAATTAACATATTGTATGACAACTGAACATTCTAAAATTTTAGCCTTATATGTTAATATTATCGGCAATGTGACAATAGGATTGATTGATTTCAATTATTTAAGTTTAGTTAAATACATGACAAATTAAATTAAGTGTTGAGACCTTAACTGGAATTGCGTCATATCACCTAATCATTATAGTATATATAACTACAAAAGTTAATGTAGTGTGGGCGGCATCTCATATATTTCTCAAGTTTTTATTGATTTATTGAATGTAAAAATAGAGCTGCATTTAAAATTAAATTTACCATGTAACAACTTGTTAAAAAACTAAAGTAAAGAATTCTTCAGTATATATTTTAAGTTTATTTATTTAATTTCCTCATAGCAGAGTAATTATTAGAAGTAATATTAAAATTTACAATTATATTAAACATAATTCACAATTATATTCAAAAAACGGAGATTGGTGAGAACAGCAGACGTACACAAATGAACACAAGACAAAAGCAATGCAAAGACAAATAGAAGAACTCAAAGTTTAAAGAGAAAGGAATGATAATAATTATGAAACATAAAAAATAATGTGTGTAAATAATGTAAGTCTTCATGATAAAAACGAAGTAAAATAGAATTTCAAATAGCTATGGACTACTGAAATTCAATTTCGAGAAACGAACCGAAAAGGCAATATGTACTTTAAACAACAATGTTTGCAGCAATCTCAATAACCAGCACCTCGATTTTGTTTATATTAGGACCGTGTCATTTTGGACTAGTATGAAACTGGATTTAGACGTCAGAATATAATTTCTTATTTTTTTATTTTCTAGTATAAGTTAGCCATGATTGTTATACATTGTAATTGGCGTATACTGGGCGTCTTGTAATGGTCGGTAGATCAATACGATGCTGGGGGTTGGAGAATAGGGAGAAGGGCAGGGGGGTACTTTGGCACGCGAGGTGGCGGTGGTACGGTAACCATAGTAACGCGCCTACGCGCAGCCTGCATCCAGAGGAGACGCCCGATATATCCCGATTCCGTGGGCGGACTCATTATAGAACAAAACCATCGATATGATTAACATTCAAGATGAATGTTCAATCTCCGAGTAGCGATAGCAAGCTGATTCCAATGAATTGGTTTGATTAAGTACCTATTATATTAGGGCGTTGGTGAACAGTTCTTTTGTATTCATAAAAAGATTATATTTATAAAATAAAAATATGGATTATCAACGATGTTTTATACCATTGAATGTATAGGTAAATACAGACCATAAATCTTGATCAGTTATACAGAATAGCGAGTTACGAGTATTAGCGCCACGAGATTTCCTTAGTTTAAAAAATTTACCATGATCCACAATTTGCTGGATAAATACCAATTTATCTAAAAGGATAAATACCTATTTCTTATTAAGCTCATTAACCAAATTATACAAAAATACGTTTAATCCTACTCTCAAATTCAAATGGCATTCTCTTTCGAGTTTCTTTGGGATTGTTTCTTTTTCGAAAATGTAGACAGAGTACCTGCCTACTCTATATTTATTATGTTTTATTTCCGACTATTTCATTAATAGAAAAAATATAGATTAGAAGCTCCTACTTGTAAAAAGTAAAAGCTTACATCATTATGTCAACTTTTTATGGAAAATAAGTATATATCAGAAGGATATCCTTCATATTATTATGTATTTGTCAGATGCCGTGAAAATCAGTTCATGTGTGCAATGGGTGAATGCATATCACAACATTGGCGTTGTGACAAAGAAGTCGATTGTCCCGACAGTTCCGATGAAGAGGAGTGTAGTAAGCGTACATTTTTTTTACATTACAAGTTCAGCAATATTTTATAGATTTTTCTCATACTAAATCTGCATTGCATTTTCAATTTTAGTAGATAAAATTTTGCACCCTAAGAATCATTAGAATTCTTATGGATTATTAAACTTATATAATAATATCTTTTAATGTATTCCAGAACTGGATTTACTACGATGCGGCGAGAGCGAATTCCAATGCGATAACAAAAAATGTATACGAAAGGACTTCCAGTGTGATGGTGACAACGACTGTGGTGATTGGACCGATGAAGATGCATGTCCCATGATGCCTGGTAGTTGCCACGCTGGAGAATTTAAGTAAGTCCATGTCTAAATACTGAAATATCAGTTAAGTACTAATTCGGTATTTTGAACAGTCTCGCTCACTTAGCTAAATTTTAATAATTTTCAGATGTAGCGATGGAAAGTGTATTCCAGAAAGATGGAAATGTGACTCTGAAAGAGATTGTTCTGATGGAGGTGATGAAGTCTGTGCGCCCCATGTAATGCGCAATTGTACTAACGATGAGTACACATGTGCTGATAAACGATGCATTTTGGTAAACAGTTTAACAAAAAATATTCAAGTTTTGTTCCATTAAAAATAAAGTAAAATACATTTGATAAACTGTACTTTACAGAAAACATGGATTTGCGATGGAGTTCGTGACTGCACAAACGGTGAAGACGAAATGAACTGTCAAGTGTTTTGCGAAGAAGATCAGTATATGTGCAAATCACAGGAGCATCTTGTGAGCAATGCATTCAGGAACTGTGTGAACAGGAAACACGTTTGCGATGGCATGAAAGACTGTCCACGAGGTGATGACGAAGAGAACTGTCCAACAAAGAGAAAATGTACTGCCGATGATAAATGTGAAAAAGAATGCATCACTACATATGATGGATTACCAGCTTGCGCTTGTCCAATAGGATTTCTACTAGCTGACGATGGATACAGGTAAAGAAATAGTTCTCTATAATTTGAATTTAACTTTAAAACATTGAAGGAATTATATATGTATTTTTTTATCACTATCCAATATTTTATATTACAGCTGTCGTGATATCGATGAATGCATGTACGAACAAGACCCAGTATGCTCACAAACATGTTCCAATACAGTAGGCAGTTTTAAATGCGGGTGCATGACTGGCTATGTTCTACGGCCAGATGGAAGATCTTGCAAGCCTATCGGTCAATCACCATCACTTCTATTCTCAAACCGAATTGGAATACGTCAGGTAGGTCCTATCTTATTGCCTTAATTGGAATAAGCTTTCACCAGCGACAAAATAATCCACAACTTGTGTAAAATTTCGTTAAAATTGTGATTTTACCGTTACTATATTATTGGTCCTTTTATTATCAATAAAAATCACTTTTTTCCATACAGGTGTGGTTAACTGGCGATAATTACATATCGGTGATAAAAGGATTACATAATGCAGTCGCTCTTGATTATCACTACGAAAAGGGATTGATATTTTGGTCTGAAAACAATTTGAGGGTTATACGAGTGGCTACCATGGAAAGTGCCAATATGACAGGTAAGAAATATTACTATCACCTCGAAACTAATTTTGATAGTAAAAAGGAAGCATCAATTAATATGATTTTGTTTGCAGATGTAATCAAATGGGGATTGGAAACACCAGGTGGCGTCGCTGTCGATTGGATACACAATTTGTTATTTTGGACTGACTCAGGTACCAGACGGGTGGAAGTAGCTACTTTGGACGGTTCGCAAAGAGCAGTATTGGCTGCAAATGATTTGGATAAGCCACGTGCTATAGCCGTTCATCCGGGGGACGCTTTAGTTTTTTGGACGGATTGGGGTAAGCACTTTCTATGTCGGCTTTTTACTAAATATTTATCTGATATTAGTACTTTAATAATAAATATGATAATTTTGTTTTTCAGGACCTAATCCGAAAATTGAGCGCGCTGATATGGATGGCAGTCGTCGTAAGAGTGTAATAGTTGATCAAATATTCTGGCCCAACGGCCTCACTATTGATTATATTGAGTCCAGGATATATTGGGCTGACGCGAAGCACCATGCTATTGAAAAGGCAACTTTTGATGGACGCGAGAGAAAACGCGTAAGTATACATGTAAAACTTTTTCATTCTTATTTTTCGATCTTGAAATACTAGATGATAATATTCCATTTTTTTATAGATAACTAACAAGGGCCTCCCTCATCCGTATGCGATAACGTTATTCGAAGATGCTATTTATTGGACTGACTGGCATACAAAAAGCATATCCACTGTTAATAAGAAAACAGGAATGGGAATACAGACCGTCCACGCAGGATTGAATGGTCCAATGGACATACACAGGTGAGTATAATGACTACATCGAGTGGTGCGCGATAATTGTGAATGTTTAACCAAATATAAATTCTTGCAGCTACCATCCTTTGAGGCAACTCACGCATTATAAAAATCGTTGTGGTACAAACAATGGAGGTTGTTCACACCTTTGTCTTCCGAACAGTAATGACCGCACGTGCCGTTGCCCAGTTGGCTTCAACCTAAATTCTGATGGGTAAGATTCTTTTAGGCATAGGAAAATGAGAATATAAAGAAAAACAGTGTGTTTAGTTAAATACTATGAAACCTAAGTAGAACTCAGTATTTTTTTAATTAATAGCAAGTGTGAAGTTGACATTTCCCGTAGCTACAAAACTGCGCACTGCAAAAATTTAAGCATAAAATGTAATACAAATTCATTTTCTCAGCCGAACATGTGAAGAAACACCAGAAAGTTTACTTCTCTACGCGAGACGTAAAGATATAAGGCTGAAACAACTGAATCCTAAAACACAAACTGATTCATTAGATATGGTGAGTTACTATTTTTTTTTATACATATATTATGTATGACCCATGTGTTATTAAAGACTTTCAATGACTACCGTGTGAGTGTTCTACTATACTAATTGAAATCTCTCAATATTGGCTGCCGATCAGGTGATTCCTGTGGATAGTATAAAGTCAGCAGTAGCGTTGGATTGGGATCATAACTCTAATTCTATATTTTGGACTGACGTGGAGAAGGATACAATAAACCGCGCTTTTCTAAACGGCTCACATCAAACTACCATTGTTGGCTCCAATCTAAGTAAGTCTATTTTTATAGCTTTAGCATACATGTGTGACAATATTGGTACTATAAGTTTTTCTTGTAAACAGTTTCACCAGCTGGTCTAGCGTATGATTGGATTGCGAATAAAATATATTGGACCGATTCTGGTACGAACAGGATTGAAGTGGCGAATTTTGATGGTAGTATGAGAACGTTATTGGCTTGGAGAAATATCGATAAGCCAAGAGACATCGTCGTTGATCCAAAAGGTAATAGATGTTATTCGGTCAACATCAAAATGTTTGAAAAAATGAAGAAATTTATGTTTATATAGTTCTCATAAATTGCTAAAACTATAACAACAAATTTATGAATTTTAGGAGGCTATATGTACTGGTCTGAATGGGGCGCTACACCTTGCATTGAAAGAGCCGATATGGATGGTGGTAACCGATATAAATTAATTCACGGCAACATGACATGGCCCAATGGACTGGCTTTAGATTTTGAAAACAATCGTATATATTGGACTGACGGCGGTAACCGGACGATCGAGTATGCGAATCTCGATGGAAGTGATAGAAAAATTTTAATCGGTAGAAAAAAAAATTCAATAAAATAATATATATTACAAACGAGTAGGTTCTCAATTACACGTTATGTGTTCTATAGGTCAGCATCTTCCACATCCATTTGGTTTAGACTTGTACGGTGATGATATTTTTTGGACTGATTGGGATACACAATCGATTCAAGCTGCAAATAAATACACTGGGAAAAACCGAAGAACTCTAGGTGCTGGTGTGGCTGGATTGATGGATGTTCGAGTGTTCCATAAAGAAAGAATAGCAAGTACTAACAGGTAGTTTACATACCAAGTTAACACAAATTGCACGAAGGTAAGGAAAACGATAATATATTTAAAAAATTCTAATAAATTTCATCATTATTTTAGATGTAGCAAGAATAACGGAGGTTGTTCACATCTCTGTCTCTTAAAGCCCAACGGTCGCTCTTGTGCTTGTCCAATTGGCATTAGAATAAATGTAAGTAAATAAAATATGATTTTCTACTAAATAAAAATTCTTATTTCTAGTGGGCATTATTTCTAATCATCGTTCAACATATTTTTTATGTTACAGAAGGACGGAAAGACATGTGTCAACGGTCCCATCAATTATTTGATATTTGCCCATCGTATTGATATACGAATAATATCATTAGATGTGCCGTATTTAGTCGATGTGGTACTTCCTTTACCGCAATTGAAGAACGCTCTTGGTGTAGATGTTGACCAAAAAACTGGTAACTTAAAAACTATAAAATCTCAGCCATTTATTTTGCAATATAACAATATAAAATTTGATTTCCTTTATAGGAATTGTATATTGGACAGACACTGGAGAAAAAACCATTAACCGCGCTAATAAAGATGGCAAAAACAACGAAACAATAATAGGTAGTGGTCTGCATACAGTGGATGGAATTGTAATCGATTCGGCAGGACGCAAGGTTGGCAATAGCATTAGTGATTTTACATTTAATGAAAATTATCGTAATTATGAACAACTAATATTATTATTCGTCACAGATGTATTGGACGGACGGTGGGCGAAACAGTATCGAGGTATCTGAATTGGATGGAAGCAACAGAAAAGTTCTTGTATGGACTGGCTTAGGTAATAAGTTAGACATTTTCTACCTACAAGTTGAGTTGATCAAGAAAAATAATACCGATATTTATTTTAGATTCTCCTCGAGCCATTGCTTTACACTACGAAGAGGGGTATATGTTTTGGTCCGACTGGGGGCAATCCGCTAAAATAGAAAGAGCAGATATGGACGGCAATAATAGGTAATTCATAAAACATGTCGCAATACAAAATGTTGGCCTCTTACTCCAAATCAAATCTCTAAAATGCCCCTTATCCATATTAGAAAAAAATAGAAATAACGACTAATAATACTTTTTTTCTTAATATTCAGACACATCATTATCGACAACAATATCATATGGCCGAATGGTTTAGCCATTGACAGCGTTGAAGGTCGCCTGTATTGGAACGATGCAAAAATATTAACTATTGAGAGTTCTGACTTTGATGGAAATGACCGTCGGACCGTACTGAACAACGTTCCATATCCATATGGAATTGTTATAGTAGGTCAACATATTTACTGGACCGACTGGAAAACTAGTGCAATTCATAGAGCCGATAAAACTGACGCCAAAAACGGTATTATCATTAGGGAAAAGTTGGAAGGTTTGATGGATATAAAAGCGGTTCAGGTAAACATTACTATCATTATAGTTATCGTTCTTATATCAATATATAGACTTTATTCTAAGAAATGCTTATTTATCCAGACTGAACGAGTATTAGAAAATGTTTGTGGCACAAATAACGGTGGATGCTCCCATCTATGCCTTCGATCGCCACATGGCTACACGTGTGCATGTCCTACGGGATTGTATTTTGAAAACAAAACCGAACCAAACGCTAAAATATGTCGTACATATCCCGAAAATTTCTTAGTGTTTGCTACGCGGGGAAGTATAGCAACTATTTCTCTTGATACACCTGAACACTGGGATGTCAATCTGCCACTGAAAGAAGTACAGAAATCTATTGCAGTGGATTTCCATTGGGAGAAAAAACAGATATATTACACCGATGTAAGCAGGGATTGCATAAGGTATGTTAAGATAAAAAAAAAATATTACAGATTTTTTATAGCTTATAAATACAAAATGTTGTTACAAAATGTTTTTATAGCTTATAAAAAATCTGTAAATTGTACGCACATACGCCTATTCAAAAGTAATATAATTGAGTAAAGATTCAGAAACTAATTATTATAACTCATTTCAGTGTTATAAACATGTTGAATATGACGGAAAGTAAAGTGCTTATAAAAGGAAAACTCGATACCCCTAACGGGTTAGGTGTAGATTGGATTGCGAATAATATTTACTGGACTGACAACGAATACAAGGTATATAAAATAGCCGTTATATTGCCAACTAATTTACCTACATAGAATAATCTGTGTAACTTTGATCTGTACAGGTTGTAGAAGTAGCTAGATTAGATGGTACATCACGAAAAACTATTATCAAAGGCCTCAGTGAACCCAGAGCACTTGCTTTATTCCCAGCTAAAGGGTAAGTTAATGATTCTCAAATAACTATGATATTATGTTTAATTATTAGATACAAAAAATGCAGAAAAACGAGAGGTACGACAGTAAGATTATGTAGTGACTATCCATGTAGTGAATTGATGATCTGGCTATTATTACCGAGGGGGAAAAGTGTATGCCTAGTTATTATGAAAATGATAAACGAGATTTTTCCAGAAGTACGTACATATATTTTAACTAAAATGGAAATGACGAACCTGTAAATACGTTTTACAGGTTTTTGTACTGGTGCGATTGGGGAGAACATCCACGTATTGAGCGAGCATATTTAGACGGGAGCCATAGAAATGTGATAATAAAACAGGATTTGGGCTTCCCTAATGGAATCACGATCGATTATAAGGAAAGAAGATTATACTGGACTGATGCTTTGAAGGATAGAATTGACACTGCCGACTTGAACGGTCATCATCGCGTGCAATTAGTGCCAGATGCTAAGAATCCATTTGGTATGACCCAAGTAAGTTTTGCTGCGCCTTTAAATCTGTTTGCAGTTTAAATCAGAGTCAAAGAAGGCGATCTAAACGAGTTTTCTTTACACCTCGCATGTGAATGATAGTTGAAATCAGAATTCTGACGCGATACGGGTTGATATATTTCCACACAAACAATTTTAAAATTAGATTCATCCGCCTCCTTTGAATCAATGTGAGTTTAAGAACGGAATGTTTCGGTGTAATTTCTAAATTTATTTGATTTCAGTTTAATGATTATATTTATTGGACTGATTGGTTCAAGAAGTCAGTAATGAGAGCTAATAAAACAACAGGAAAAAATGTGACCGCTCTTAGAACTGATTTAGAAATGACAATGGAAATAAAGGCCGTCTCTGCTGAAAAACAACGTGGATGGAACCCTTGCAAGGAAGATAACGGTGGCTGCTCCCATCTTTGTTTCTTTAGAGCTCACGATTATATCTGCGCTTGTCCTGACGAACCCGATGATCGTCCTTGCTCAACAGGTAACTTTCTTTCCCTATTTAGATTATAGAGTAAGAAATTTCGATATTTTAAACTGAGTAATTTTTCGACCCTTTTTTTGTGTAGAACCCAAAACACGCATAGGGAATAAGATGCCACCTCACTATGCATCGTCAGATGATTACACTGACATAGAACCGGGAGACAAACTTGTGCCCACACCAACAGCGGCACCCGATACCAGTGTCGGTGCAATTTTGATCGTAGTCGCGATCATGACATTTATCATACTTGGAGTTGTGGTTATTGCATTCGTATGTGGTACGTATAATTGATATTAAGTATAAAAAAAAACATGTTCTGTGACTTTATTTCGTTTCATTTACACCTCTAGTGAAAATCAACAAAGACCGCGGTGGGGAGTTGAAGGAAGACTACCGTGAAGCAAGTGGCCACATCTCATTCCACAATCCCAATTACAATTGTACGACCGGAGCCAATAGCGGGGAACCACTCGAAAGACGGCCCAATCGATTTCATGGCATATTCAAATATGACAGGAGCCAGGTAATATAAGCACAATATATAAGCCCAAGTAGCTAGAATTAGAAGTTGAAATGCATATTAGGCATGGTTAACACAATCCTATGTTATGACTCGTTGACTATATTGGTTTAGCGATTGTTTCTGCAATTTTTCAGTAATAGTTACAGCTGAATATCATCATCGGCCTTATAATATTCTTACTACAGAGGTACCAGTCTTCCCTAAAATCCACCCTAAGAACTCTCGGGTCAGATGTAGATTATTATTCTTTCTGAAGCTCGTGTTTGATATGCCAACTATTGTATTTAGGAACGGGTGACGAATGTATACATCCCGGAGGGAACAAGTCTCTTACCTCCACCGCCGCCTCCGCACCGGCAACCGCTGACTCGACCAGCGACACACGACGACTTTGAACCGGTCACCTTACATTCATTCGCCTGAACCTAAACAACTGACAACTTTCGTGCAATGGATTGAACGACGAACGCTTAATAGTAGCTATAGAGTAGCCGAGACAGAAGTGTCTGCGTAGATTAGATGTGTTTGAGACGTCCAACAGGGGAATGTTGCAATGCCGTGCATATCGACATATTGCCGATAAGAACAGTCTCAACCGTCTCCATAATGATGTAATGCAACGCGACATACTATACGCATAAGTACAAATACTTTTATTAATCCGTGACAGATATATAACTATCATCATTATGTTCCCGGTCTACAATAAGGATATGAATGAACATTAAAACGGAACGTGAACTGTTGCAAGAGCAACATTGTGCCTACACACATAACTAGGTTGTGTTCAATAGCGTATTTTTATGGAAAAAACGATAATTAAAGAAAAGATAGATTCATTAAATCTCAGACAGATGAACGCGCTGTTGAACGCAGCCATATCAAATAATAAAGATGCAACCCTGAGGACAATGGTACGTCTATTTAACGAATGAGAAAGTTTATTTTTCTGTGTCATATTCATAGCTCACTACACTATATTCGATAATTGTCAATTTCTGATTATGAGGAAATATCTTGGAGGATACGTAATTTAAGATCACATTTTTAGAAAGTTAAACAGAGTCGACTTCATATATTTTAATCAATTTATGATATTGTTAAAATTTATAATTAACCATGAATGAGATTGTAATAAATCACGTGATATTATTTTCATTAAACTCACTTTCCAAATTTGTATTCGACTTATATCGACGTTGGGTAAATATGTGTTTTACTCAAATAAGGATATATTTAATTATACTGACTATTGTTATTAGACATAGTTAAATACTTTTAGAGATTATAGAAAATAACAAAAAAAAAACATCTTGAGTGTAAATAGATGTACTTAATTTAAACTAAACAGCAAATAAATAATCAAATGAAATTTTGAAAAAAAATATTGTTCTAAGATTATTGAAATTTAAAACTACGGTAACATGCTTAATTTATACAATTGCAGTTCTTTATGCATATTTTAATTAATAATACATCACTAGATGATTGAGATTTATGAAGATAAGCATGATACCATAGTACAAATAAAATCTAAAATTATCAACACGTTTGAATGAATGTGAGTGAAAACGGGCGGAATGTTTATAATTATTATTTTTGTACAATTAAACTGACATTTTCTCTCAGCGGCTCACTGGGGAGGTCATGTCCGTATTTATATATTTGTATAGAAATAAAATTTCTAGGTGCGTAGAGGTCTGGGGTCACGTGATTTCTTTCACAAAAGAATAACGTCTCGTCCCGACCTCGCCAATCTAACAAACGAATTGAATGATGATATATGCATAATTATCACGCCTACATATACCCTATTCAGTTGTTGAAAACGAATTCACTCTTAGAAGTAATTCACCAAATTAAAAATGGTGACAATAAAATATCAATGTAAATAGTTAGTTTTAATTAACGACATTTTTGTCAAACAATATTTCATTGTAAATAATAGTTTATTTATATTTCGTATGTTATGATGTTTTACGATTTTATTTCAACTGTTGCAACTACATTCTGAGTGTAGGTTTACATTACATTTCATATCAGATACGTTTTTAGTGACCTAGAATTAAATTAATGAATACGCTTTAATTTATATTGTTACATTGCCGAATGTAAATTTTCTCTCGCGGTTATGACTTATGAATAATTGAAATAATTTATTGGATATAGATATGTGTACTTATTTATTAACAACAGACGTTTTGATTATGCCGATCTCCTTTTGTTTGTGAGTTTTTACGTCACAAATACGAATCGGACGTATATGACGTTTCACAGGGTGTTTTAATCTAAGATAGAGTTAGGAGGGAGTCAACGGTCTAACCGGACATTAAATGGCTATTAAACCACACATTGGTTATTTCTAGATAGAATTCTTACACGAATGTTAATGACTCTCAATAGTCCATTGTTTTCATATTTCATGAAAATTAAATTTCACTTAACTATTTAAGTAGGCAATAAAAATAGTGCTACGGAAGTTCCTTTAAGATTCAATGAAAAGACATAATATAATTTTTGTTCTATTTATTCTTGGAAAGAATAATAGAACCTAGTTAAAATATGACAATTCTATAATGCAATGTATTTTATATTTTATTTTGTATTGTGCACAAATTACTGAAGAAGTACAATAACACTTAATGAAATTCATAATACATGTTTATAAATTTTTAGTGCTTAATATTCAGTGAAATTCCGCCCCAAGCAAAATTTTAAAAACAATTATTATAAAAATAAGGTTTAATACGATTGCGTATTTTATTTTGTTTTCATCTAATAGTATTATATTATATGATTACTCTGTAACATTACAAAAGATCTAACTTAATAGAGCAGTTTTTATGATTTATGAAACAAGTTACATAAAATGTTAATGAGTTTCCATGAAAATGTTTTACTATAATGTACGATGTTTTCGATATTAGTTTTTAGAGTATCTTACGTCTATTGTTTTGTTAATAGCTTGTAAGGGAAGAAAAAGATAAAGTATGTGAGTGCTGTGATACCAAATGCTTAGTGAGTTAAAGTTGGTCACCGATGATGGCAGTCACCACGTGAACAGATCACAATAAGTTTGTCTCATATAAGGTACAATGAAGCCATTGTGCCAGGTTTGATATAGCACAAACGCACAACGCACAATGGATGTTACAATTCCTTTATTTTTTAATTTTCAATTCGACATGTGAAATTCTAAATTAAAAGAGTATTAATGCGAGTGCCAAATTATGAACTCCGTAATTATTAATTTTATTACTTTCTATATTATTATTAAATTATAGTGGGAAATTAGATAATGAATTAAACAGCTTTTACACCTTGTGGCCTCCATGCAGGTGTTGAAACTGTTGTCTGATTTATTATTGTACTGAGATTTAAAATAGAAAATATTCGAATAAACATCGCTCGTTTTATTTCGCTCTGGTCTAAACACCTTATCTGTCACTTACACTATATGTGCATACTGCACATTAAGTGTAGATTTTAGTAAAAATTGCTATAAAATACCCTTCTGTCTCTATTACCCTGGAACCCACGACCTTTCGCAAACCGGGCGACTGCTCTAACCACTTAGGGGGCGTCCATAAATTACGTGAGGTGTTTTTTAAATTTTCTGTCCCTCCCTCCCCCCTGGTGAGATGTCGTGAGATTTTATTCAACCCCCTCCCCCATCCCCAATCTCACGTGAGATTTTTCAAAATGCAATTTGATGAGTACTTGCGAGTATTTGCCTTGTTGTAGTATCGAGTATCACTTTTGAAAGTATCGATACCTGCTCGGTATCGAAAGTATCGTTCGAACCCTACAAATATGGTGGTTTGACATTCAGTAGATGTATAGCGTCTAAGTATGAATGAAATTATTTTCTTTTGAACGAATTAGTGAATGATCTTAATCGTATACGATTACGCTTAAGGTTAAATCTTAAGCATCTTTAAGATTGTACACAATCTGGATTAAATGGACCAAAATATTTTTTTTTATTCAATCAGAAAAAAACTTGCGTGATATTTGCCGAGACCCCCCCTCGCTCCAACGTAAGATTAGATGAGATTTGCCTCGACCCCTTCCCCCTCTTAAACATCTCACGTAATTTATGGACGCCCCCTTATCCACCCAGGACCTAACAGAACAGACGAATTCTTCAAGTACTTGTTGCTTTTTTGCTACTACAGAACGTATTTTCATCAATTTTCAGGTAATCCAATCAAACGGTCGAAAAAAATATTTCTACAAATATTTTAAACTTTCGATAAAAATGAAAATTTGTTCTAATTATTACATTTGATCAATTTTGCATTCACAATACTATACTGGAAAATATTTTTATGAAAAATGCTAAAAAAAAATACAACTCTGAGATAGGATTCGAATCGACGACCTTTCGCAATCCGGGCGACTGTGATCAAATATAATAATGAAAATACTAATCAAATTATTGATGATTTTTTGTATCCCAGACCTTTACTTGGCTTAATTAAAGTTTCATTCTTTACATGATTTAAGAAGCAAACATCTTCTGTTTAGTGTCATAAATCATGTAAAGAATGAATGTCGCGTCGGCTTGCTGTCTAATGAGGAAGTATTTAAGAAAAAAATAGAAAGCACTAAAAAAGAACCTCCACTAGATGGCGACTCTAGCAAAGGTTGATTTTTGGAGGAAACGATTGGACCAAAGAAAGTAATTTCCGTTCCTTTAAACTAACATATTAAAAAAATTAAATTTGCTAAGTTCGAAACTTACATATCAATACAAATAGAATATGAGCTGTATATTGAGTTTTGAAAACGAATTTACTTTTATACATGAAAGAAAACCGGAAGGGTTGTCATGGAGAAATCAAGAAAGTACTGTAGTGACATCTAGTTTGATTTTGGCAACTAATGTATTTTTTTTAAGACTTCCTCATTGATTTGGGAGTTTACCAATATTTATGTGTTTTCTGAGATGATTTCAGGTTTATACTTTTTAAAATGTAACTGATATGCGCAGTTATATATTAACGTCTTGAAAATTTTAAATGTACTAATAATTTACGGTGTATAATAATGTATTACAATTTTCAACAGTAAGTTTTTATAAATCTGAGGTATATATATAATTTGTATTAGTGGTCAGTTACAGTTAGTAAAAGAAAAAAAAAACAAAACGTTAAATACTTATTTTCCTTTATAATATTGTATAATTTATTACATACATATATCTACGAGGCGTGTCCTTATTCTAGTCAACAATCCAATAGTTTTCATGACAACTTCGTAAAGATAGTTCGAAAGACATAGAAGAAAATAAATTAGAAAGTTAGGAGTGATAATTTACTTCTTAACATTTTTTATAAAAAAAATAACATGGTCCAAATGTGACAATTGTATGTTTACTTTGTGAGTGTATTTCTAGATCTTACAATATTAACGAGTATTCTTTTACGACTAAAATTGAGACAATTAATAGTTTCATATATGTTTAAGATAACTTAATTTGTACTTCCGTACTAATATCAGAATGAATGCTACATATAGATATAGATAAGAAATAAAATAGGATGAGAAAATAATAGCAATTAACGAGTTTTTTGTCGTATCTGCTCAGTACATTGTCTCCTGCTTTAGTTTTAGAAAGCGATCGCACTTACTTTCATAAGTGCTTGTAACAACTAAAACTGAATAAATTATATAAATTTGTCTTAAAACAGATATTATAATGTAAATAGGTTGGTATCCGACTGCAAATGAATCGACAGTATTATGAAATTAATATCGTAAGTACAATTGGATTGTAAATTGAAGTGTAAATAGGTTTTATGTTAAAGGGGATAGCAACAGTTGGTTGGATTGTCTTCAAAGCCTGAGTAATAGAGCTCAATGCTTTTAGGGTTAAGACATTTTTGAATATAACATTAAGTAAAATACGTGGAAATATATCAAACATTATGACAAGAAAAAAAGGTTGATAACAAATTCGATTAGCTAGTTGTCTTTCATAATAGAAACCGCATACGTATTTATACTCGTAACATATAAACTGATTTAAGTACACATTTAATTTAAGCATCAAATAGATATTAAAAACGTTAGCCTATTGGGGTTTAACTAAGATATGGTGATTAAATAAAAATTATTTACTTACAGTTTGACGGTGCTTTTACATAACAAATGCTAGTGCACCATAAAGCTAATGGCGCTCGCTGTCTCCCATTTGCAAACATTCTTTAGACTTAAAGACATTATGTTTATTCCACTAATTTTAACATTCAGGTACAGTACACATTTTACGTAATGGCATTGTTAAAAATTATGCACTAAACACATAAAAGCAGAACACTTAAGGGCCCTATTACATTTGAACTGTAATTTTTGAGTAAAATTAAAATTTCTGGCGTTCTTGATCTCTGAATTAAAATATATTAACAATTTTTACTTATTGAATAATGCAGAATATCTATTGGCATAGTTCGTAGTGGCTTTGCTTTTAGTAAATTTTATTTAAGTTTTTAATTAAACCCTAAATTGCAAACGAAGAATTTCATAAAACTTTTTGAGGCACTTATTTGAATTCCTGGATTAAAGTATATTTAATTCAAATAAAATAATAAATAAAAAACAAATTAAATGAAGTCTGATAAAGTCGTATAGTACGTAGCGGCCTCTAAATTTTGAAATATCTCAGCCGTGTAGCGAGTTTGTTTATATTTGTAATAGGGCTCTTAAAATAATATTATCGTCTGACGTTACACACTGACTATCTCACATAAAATCCTAAGCACTTATGTACAACGGAGACCGAACAACATGGATGTTCGTGTATATTTTTCAAACACCTCAATGATAATTTTATTTTTTTAGTTGTTATTGTTATTTTTTTTTCTATTCTTAATAGACTTGACAACAATTTTTTTTATGGAGGCATTTTCTTCTTATTGGTATTAAATGAAGCAATAATTATTTTACGTAGCGTATACGTACGTATCAATTTATATATATATATATATTTCATATTCACGAATATAAAACTAATATATTTTTTTAACTAAACTAATACAAATCATGTCAAATCTGCCATATCAAAATAGTTTCAGATTTATTATTATTTTTTCAGAAACGTTTTGTCAGCATAATTAAACCCCTCGATTTGATGTGAAGTGAGAAGAGTTGTATAAGTCAACGCGGTAATCTGTCCTCATGACACTGCTACTACTTGTGAAAATTTATTGCCTATCATTAAAAATAACTATGTAATTTAATATTTTTTTGCAATCGTCACCATAAAAGTGTAATAACCATACATTTTGTCCCGTCTCCTATCAACTACTGGAGGCCAACTTTGAAACACAACATTCTTTATATCTTCAATATAAATTGTACCGACTTAGGCTTCAATTTCTTTTTAAACATCTTCAAAATATAGAATACTTTCAATAAAATTATGATATTCGTTTAATGTTAGATAGTTTTAACACCAAAAACATATGTTATTCTTTTGTTTATCATGTATCATGTTTCGAAATGGACCTCCAGAATGTTTAATCTTTGGCACTAATATAATTTAACCGAATATAATTGTAAGGTACATGTTTACTATAACATTTTATATACAACGCGCAACAAACTCAATGAGATCAATCCTACTTAGCAAAATAAATATACACACATATGCCTGCATATGCATATTAATAATGTGATTACTATTTAACATAGAAGCTTTCATAGACTATCAATAAAAAACTCTCAGTCACAGTTTCAAAAATATAAAACGGAATGCCTCTCATAGAGTATCAAAATATAAAGTGAAAATAACATTTATTTTGGGTAAAATCCCTGTACGATTATAATAATATAACAATTTCATTACTTACTCTATTGTCATGGCCGTATCTTACTTATGCGATTTGTTATATTAATGATAACGTTTGAGTTCAGGAAACACTTCCAGTAGAACTAATTCAAAGAGTTCCTGCAACAAATAACAAGGTATATTAAAATTTGGAAGAAATGTATTTATATATATGACGTCAATTTCATCATTAACCGATTTAGAATTGTAATCGATAAGTGATTTGACAGATCAAATTATTATAAATGAAAGTGCGGACTATAAATTTAGGTAATAATTAAGACGTTCCACGGAACACGTCATGCACGCGGCGGATGGAAACCGATAATGCCACCAGCGATCCGAGTTACGTCAAGCGAGCTGCCACCCTTACGTCAGTGTCATTCGCTTTGCTATAATGTAATCTGTTAAATCACTTAATCATTATAATTCTAAATCGATTAATTATGAAATCACCGTCATATATATATAAAGATATATATTGAACAACGATTTACATAATACTAGGGCCAAACGGTAAACAATGAAAATCGGACTCAAAATGTGTAAGCACTCGAATCAGAACTAACCACCCGAATCAAAAACAAAATAGAAAAGTAATTTTTCGTAACGAAAACTGGAACTCGGATGTCAGTAATCGAATACCGTGCCGATTTCAAGGCGATATCCAGATCCGTATCGATGTAAATTAAAATTCATTCGTTAATTAGGAAATGGTTTCGTTATATTATAATTAACTAGCTGTTCTTCCTTACTTCATCCGCTATAAATTATATAGCTTATGTCACCCGTGTCTATGATGAAGCTTTCCTTAGGTGAAGAATTTTTAAAATCGGTCCAATAAATTCGGAGCCAATAAAATGCAAACACATTGACATACCAAAAATCAGGAAATATCTTACTAACCTCGATTGTCAAAAGGTCTATATTTAGCGAACTGCAGGACGATTCTGTAAAATCACAACACGAATTCGAATTCACTCATGTGTCCGAATACACCTAATTTAGTGTAGATTTAAATATTTGTATAAAAACAAAGTGAATTCGAATTTGGGTTCGAAAACTGGAACATTTACAGAATCGCCAGTGCAGTAGGTCTACCATCCATACTTTATAATTGTCGTATATGATAATGTGAAATAAGTACCTTTAGAGTTTTAGTTTCTAAGGATTTTTTACACATTATGAAATCTAACTAAATAGAATTATTTCGAACATCCTTTCCAATGTACAGTAACAATTATTCTATCAAAATATACAATCATTTTACAGGTACTAGAAAACATTTAAGTTGAACTAGATTAGACAAAAATAATCAAATGGAGACTATTTTAAAAACAAAATGCACAAGTCATCCATCATTGTGTACATTTCGTAACAGATATCACTTGGAAATTAAATATAAAACTAAACCATAGAAAAACACTAATAACAAAACTTTCCTGTGATAAAATTTATGTTGCAGTTTATAAGATTTCGTAATAAAGTCAATTTATATTTATTTATATTTCGAATTCTGATATTTAAGCTTAATTTTAAATAAAGGCATAATGTTTTTGGACATGGTAATATGTAAGAATTATTGTAATTAATGACTTCATGTCTTCCGCACACTTGTCGCGGTATGTCGCATTGATCGACACTGCTGCGGGAGGTGGTGACATTTTTAGCGTGTCGCTTCGCGTTCGGCGGTCGACAAAGTAAATAATTTTAGATGATCCCACGATATCTGCGTGATAGCCATAGTAAAACCAAATAGTACGTTAACTTCAATGATACGCATCGAAAATGGTATATATCAGCGCGTCCGTGTGTATGCATTGTCAGAGACACACATACACAAAAAGTAAGCTGACTCGTGCTCTGAGCGAGTGACGCAGACACACACAAACACAAAAGTTTATCGATGGTAAAGGAGTAAGCGATGTCAAGGTACGAGTGGAAAATCACCAGTCATGGCTTAGTCGTGCGATCGGTTACTGCGCGTTGCTTGACTATATATTTCTGACGATTGATTAACCTACAAGCGACAGTCCTACGTGTTTAGGCTATTAGCCCTACGTGTAAATATCACTCGCTCAGAGCACGAGTCAGCTTACTTCTTTGGTTTTACTATGGTACAGCGTCCATCGACCACCGCGGGAATGCGTGGGTGTCATAAAGATTGTACGAATCTATACCAGTTGGCATTCGCTATTTTAAAAAACGAATGTTTCCAAAGCGGTTCAACAATAATAAATGTGATAATATTGTGATAGTAATAAATACATGAAAATATTATTAGATCAAATATAGTTTTAAATAATAATGGCCATTATATTCAGTGCTGTGGCTCGTGATGATAATATTTTAACAAAGTTTGCATCGTGCGAAGGCAATTTCACGGAAATCATGCAGCAAGTACTGTCCAAGATCCCATTTTGTAATGACAAAATGACATATTTACACGGTCACTATTTATTCCATTACATAGTAGTGGATAAACATTGCTACTTTTGTATAACTGACAAAGTAAGTATCTATTTTGCTAAATGGCTGATAATGACTCCCAAAGTATAAAAAATAAAAAGCTATAAAATATCAATGTTCACCTGTAATAAACTTAACTGTTTCACTTAAACTATTTCAAAAAGTTTAAGTTTATTACAGGTGAAAATTGTTTCTCTTTTTTTTTATTAGAGTGAATTGATCATTAGTTTTGGGTTTAGGGAAGCTAAGCAAGCAGAACAGTTTATTATCTAGGGCTTTTTTATATTTAATGTATCCACAGAAATCCAGCAATTGTTATGATGAACTTTTATTTATATTCATGTGAAAAAAGTAAAATGAAATTGTGGTAAAAACATTTAAACAGAAGATTAGATTAATTTTAACTCTATCTCTTAACAGTTGTGTCAGCGATCAAGAGCATTCTTATTCCTCAATGAAATACGAAGAAGGTTTGTTAACAAAGGCAAAGGAGAATTCACTAGTATTTTAGCAGATGAGATGTATCGTTATAGCTTAGATTACAACACAATTACAATAAGAAAAGGAGAAATCGACGAACTTAATAAAATTGGTGTTGATAGCAGTGGTATGTAAACCTCTCGCTTTTATCTCTGGAAATATAAGGTCTATAGAAATTACACAATATGAATAATAGGAACCTCACCAATGCTAAAGTTTTGACAGACTGCGATCGCAGTTCAACTGAATTCGGTCTCTAACACAATGCGATCCTTCACGATTATTGTAAATAATAGCAAAGTACTCTCTTTAGTCTGAATTTGCAGACGTTAACACTCCATTCTCCTTGATCATCCGTAAGGAAGGTCTGTACCTCTGCAGTGGGGAAGTAAAAGAGCTGATGATAGTGAAAGTACTCCCAAGTAAATTTATGTTTTTCTGTCAGACGCGCTCTGAGTTTAACTGTTAGTTTCGAATTTTTGAGAGCTCGGTAATGGGTCTTTATGATCACTATCAGTATCGAGACAGTATGCTTCTATATGCCACGCTGTATATGCTGGGCGTAAGCAATAGTTTAAAAGTTGGAGCTATTAAACGATATGGATCACATAATAGATTATTTAATTAGTAATATTTAACTGTTACATTAATCTCTTGAAACCCGAAAATCGATATACCTACTTTAAATATTTTAACCTCTGTAGCCGAGCGGTTCGCACGCCGGTTTCAAGGTGTCGCCATCTCTGAGGTCCCGGGTTCGATTCCTAGTCGGATCAATGTAGATAATGAACTTTTCTATATTGTTTCGGGTCTGGGTGTTGTGCTACCTTCGTTGTCTCAGATACTCCATAATTCGTGGGCTTTAGCTACTCATCTTGGAATGTGAGCAATGTATTTGATGCTGTTTAATATTTAATTTAATTCAATAGCTGCATGAATCACATTTTATTATTGTTTCAGAAAGTTTACTTGGTGAGAAGATATTGCTCGTAAACAATCCAGATAATTTAACATTTAGCGTAAGTAGTTTAACTTTTAAATCCGTATCGTGTTTAAATAGTAATGTAAATGTTGTGGCTTTCTATTTGATCAATATACCTATTATAGGTACACGTGGCTGCATTTGAGTTTACCACAATATGCCAAATTTCCGCAATTGATCTCGAACTGTACTACCAATGTATCGGGATTTAAAATCAAAATAAAGAAAATTGTCAGTTTTGTATAACCTGATTTGCTGTTGACTATACATAAGTTAACGCCATAAGTCAATATTTCAAAAATTATCACCGAATTTGGTCAACAAATCAGTTAGAAATTACCGTACGAACATAGTTGAACGCTGCGGCCTGTAAATAGCAGGCTGGTATAAAAGAAAGACACGTAAGGGTAAAGAATCACAAAATAATAATTAAGAAACCAGTGGCGTAACTATACCGTTTGAGGCCCGTGGCAAATTCATATTATTCGGATATTCAATTTTTTTACTAATTGCGTAATAATAAATGTCAGGAGTAAGAGTCTCCTCCGACCGGGGTCCCTTTGCAGCTGGGGGCCCGTGGCATTTTGCCGACTTGCCACCCGGTAGTTGATCCACTGTTAGAAACACTTAAACAAAAACAACTCCCTGTCTGTCAATAGACAAAACCAATCAAAAATATAAACAAAAAGTAAATCTATAAAAAAGGTTGGTTGTCTTCAACAAAAAAAGTAACTGTACAAATTCAGTAGTTTGGGTTTTATGAAGTGATGGATTAATTCCTAAAGTTGTAGCCAGTCAAAACGAGACATAAATGACCATAAAACCCGCGCCTGACCCGTTCAAATGCTATGTTGCGCGTGGGCGTTGCACGAATCAACCGTATTTTAAACTGTTTATTTCTAATCAACTGATAAACTAGCTAAAGGTTTACTGATTGACTGGTTTATGCGTAAATGTAAGTTACAAACGTTGCTTCAAACGAACGGTCTGTGTCGCGACTGAATAGGTCTATTCCTCTCTTTTCTTCGCGACCGAAAGCATGCGGTCTGTTTCGCTCGCTCGATTACGTTAAAAACATTTTTGAAAATACTTTCATGTATTTATATAGAGTTGATAGTAAATTACTTTTCTGGTATAAATACACGTTAGACTTTGTAATTAACTTTGTAATTTAAATGACAAATCAGTTTTTGATTCTAATGCCGATGGCGTAGGTAAAGGTTAGATTATGCAATTGGCATCCTATTTTTTATTTTCTCAGTCATCAGTTTGAATAATTTGGTGAAAAAAATACAAATAACTATTTTCAATTTGTAGATTAGGTATTTATAAATAAACAATTCTGAATTTTAATAATAATAAGAATGAAAAAAGTATGAAATGTACTTCATTTTCACCGTCCACTAATTAACTTAACCGTTGTCGGATGAACAACAAAGTTGTCTTAAACAGTTTATTCTGAATCCCGTTTCATGGACTATGTTAACTAAACTCAATTTTTTGTTCCGTTGAGTCTATCTACGACATCATCATCATCATCATCATCAGCCCTTTTACGTCCCCACTGCAGGAGCTCAGGCCTTCCTTATGGATGGTTAAGGAGGATAGGCCATGACTCTCCATGCTGGCCCAATGCGGATTGGAGGGTATTAACGATTGCAAATGCAGCCGGGACCAACTGCTTGACGTGCCTTCCGAAGCACGAAGTAGCTCGAGATAATAATTTTTTGGTCACCCATCCCGTGACCGACCCTTGCGAAAGTTGCTTAACGACAACGATCGCGGGCCGCGGCGCTTATCCACTACGCCACCGAGCTACTCAATCTACGACATTAACTAAAAAAATAAAAAAAATGATTTTTGGACTAGTTCGCGGCGAACGATAAGCAGGCTCGTTTCATTGAACGAAAAAGTGTCGAAGACCCTAATATCCAATGGGTTTTGCACGAGTGTGACATGCACACGAACATTTGGACACTGATCCTCTAAAATCGATACAGGAAGGCAAAGCTCATTAGTGTGTTCAAAATTCAAATATTGACAATAGGGATGATGACTAGGTGAAAAAAGAAAAAAAATCTATGAATTCCCTCAGTCAGATAATAGAAAAATATTAGATACGTATTTTTTTTCCTTCAATATAGACAAGAAATGACTTAGATAATAGGCATTAAAGTTGAGGGGTGGGGCTCGCTACGTCACAGTTTTGTAGAAAATGTACAAAAGCGGGAGGTCATGCGATATTTCAACTCAATGTATTGGAGTAATTTATTGATTACGCAAAAAATAAAAAAAAAGATACGTGTTTAATATTCTACATAAAAAATTTATATAAAAATTAGTCGTCATACCTATTGTATCAAATGCCCGTGACACACATTTGAACACATATTTGATCACAGGTGTTCACATGTTTATCGCTAGTGTCATTTTGTAGCTGGCGTGTGTACAGTCAACAACATGTCAGGTTGTACAAAAGTGTCAAACTTTGGAATCTAAATTCAAAATCGATTAAATTTGATATTTTGTTTCGTGTTAAACAATAACTCGTCTAAGAAGTAGACAAGTTATTGTTTAACACAAAAATGTTAAGACTCTCTTGAATATAATCCCAAAATTTAGAGATTGATTGAAAGATACGAATATAATGTCTAGATATCCCAATATTAGAGAAAAACCTGGAAAATATTCCTAATGAAAACGTTTCAAAAATCCACTTTGTCCCTGACACTCTGAGATGGGATTCGAACCCAAGACCTTTCGCAATGCGGGCTCTAACCGGTGAGCTACCCAAGTCCTAGGTGCGACGGATTTTTCAAGCACTTGTTACTGCTTCGCTACTACAGAGTGTATTTTCATCAATGTTCAGGCAAAACATAGAATTCAAAATTTTAGCTAAACGCTAATGTGTTATTTTTATTTCCAGACTATCACCTACGTTGGAAAAGCTCCACAAGAAATAGTGGTCACCTTGAAAGAATCCAAAATGTGTTTCATCATTGTTGTGATAATAGTTTTAGCATTAGGGATAACAATTTTCATATTTAGCCCTAAGTTCAGCATAGCTCTTATAATCGTGCTACTATTTTATTTATATCAATCTTTTTTAAAAACTTAAGATGGATTTTATTTAATCGTATTAATTGTAAACTAGAAGTCCTCTACTATCTTGTGAATAAACTTTAAACTTAATCGTCGCATAGTAAAATATATTAAGAGTGAAAGTTCTATAATATATCTTGTCGATATTATTAACTAACATAGTAAAAAATATAAAATAACTTACATAATAAAAAATACGCTAAGATTAAAAGTAAAGCGATCTCTATATTCTTTTGAGTAGTTTTACATTATAAACATAAGCAGATTGAAATTATGTGATCTGAAGTCTTACTTATAGCTTTCCACCTACGGCTTTACAACAGTTGAAACTAAGGCTATTTATTATTCGCGATAAAAACTATCTTGTCTTTTTTCAAATCCTTTATTATCAAATTTCTCCTATCTATTTATCAAATTTCATTAAAAATAGTTTAGGCGTGAAAACGTAACAGACACACAGAGAGACATAGTCAGTTTTGCAATTATAATATTAGTGGGAGTCGCTATTTAACCACATATTTTTGTCTAGAGAAGCCTCCATACTAGTGGCGTTTCCTAAACGATTTCTGTATCAGAATTCATTCTAATTGATTAATGGTTCGGTAAATATGATATAAGTACAGCTGGGCGTAAAGACAAAAGAGATAACGAGACGTAATCAACGACATAGAAAGGGACAGGGGATGGAATATTACAATTCCGAATAATTTTTCATTTTTCCATTAATCACTCGCAAAAGTCCGTAAAGCCATAGGCTACAAAGGAACTCATATTTATCAATTGTCCTTACAAGAACAGTATAATAATGAGAGTTGGGTAAACCTTTCATTGGGTAAGCATTTTATGCAGATCAGCTGATCTGCTGAGTAGTCCGTTTTCGTTTGATACGTTCAAGACTAGTGAATGCAATTCGCCAAAAGTGGCCGAGGTCTCGCGAGATATCGGTCATTATTAACAGATTTATATCGGCCCAAAAATGAGATCTCGCCTTAACCCCAATCTCGCAAGATTGCATTATCTACTATGTAATGGAAAAGTGGTTAATACTCACATAAAACAGCTGTTTGTTATGCGTCGTGTTCTGTAGCGTATAGAATAGTTTGTGGGCACCACGTGCCGCAGTCTGTGCACCGACCAGCGATGAAAGCGCTAATACTACGCTTTCATTCAGCTGCTGCAGCGCTAGCGTCCGTGTGTGCTCTAAAAACGAAATCTTTATTAATTTAAGAACTTTATCAAGTGCTAATCCTATTTTTATCATGTAAATACCTATGTAGATAAATATATAGTGATAGAATATTTAGCTGTAGAAATACAATTACCGGTCTTATCACTGAAAGCAATTTATTTCAGGCAGCTTTGGGATGGAGTAAAAGATGGTGGATTGTGACCAGCCCAATGACCCCAATGTTGGGGCACAGGCCTTCCCTATACTTAGAATCGAATCAAATCGAACAGGAAGAATGGGCCATTACCCACCACGCGGGCTCCGTGCTTTTTGGTAAGAGTTAACGACTGCAGATACAGCCGGTACTAACAGCTTAACGTGCCTTCCCAAGCACGGAGGAACTCGAGATAATATTTTTGGTCACTCATCCTAAGACCGGCCCTTGCGAAAGTTGCTTAACAAATGTATCGCAGACTGAGCGCACTAACCATTGCGCCACGAGTGGGCTAAAGGTACACACCTTTGTGTAATTAATAACTACCTATAGAGAGAATTAAGGGTGCAATCAATTAGTAACCAAATTAGTATCTGTTAATTAATTAATTAAACAATATACCTATGTAAAAAGCTAAGATTTTTTGTTGATATTTGAACAGCACCACCTACTCCCATAAAGGGTAGGGAGCACTGTAAATATTGAACACGCTCGATAGACTAACAGATCATCCGTCGAATGTCCAAGGTTGATATCTTTTTCATCAGCCACGAATCCATTACATAGACCGACTCTTAAACTCGTAACATTGTATTATCAATGTTCATAGTCAATTAATGTTATATTAGAGTAATGCAATAGCGAATAGAATACCTTTATCTTGAAAGTTCCTATTAGACGTAGTAGCACTTAAAACACCACCAGGCCACCACGACTTGAGGACTACGCTGATGTAATAATGCAGCATTTGTTCAGAGAACAACCATGATATTGTCTCTTTTATTTGCCTAAAAAACAAAATTGAATGAAATCCTCCATTCGATATACATTGATCGAGAATTGAGAGAGTTTTCGTTTGATAATATTTTATTATCAATCATAGGACGAGGCTTTGAAACATGTTCTATGTGGTATTACTTTATATTGGTTTCTCTTGCGAAATAGATATTGTTTACACGACCGAGTAACGTCAAAATATAATGGACATAGTTTCGCCTTGTCTCAGATTTCATATAAACAGAAAAAAAAATGAGAAAAGTTCGATTTGAATTATTAAAATTAATTGAGCATTTTATGAACTTAAAACTCTATAATTTCTATGTATATTACTAGACAAAGCCGTTCTGAACTAAAAGTGTGACACAGCAAGGCGCGCACGGGCACGTTGCCGTCTCGCTTACTGAGAAGGAGTAAACGAGACAGCTATACATGAACTAAACGATGTAGTTAACACAAATCGGCGAGTATTTTCCAATACCGAAGTAGAATATGAGTACATAGAAGTCTTAAGACAAAAAATTTTTCAACAGCAGTTGATGATAAGCATTACACCTTAACTAATTCATTTCAGATTTCATACAGAGTTAATTAACCAATTAATACCTGTTAATAGTTCTGCCATATGTGATCTGTACAAAGGTAACTAAAGTTTTCCTCAACCACCGGAACACTCCGCGCATGTCGAACACTTCGCTAAGCAACGCGTATAGTGGCTCAGCTATGCTGTCTCTTTCTTCTCCAACTATAGCAGCACCTGGTAATTTTCACTTATTTAAGCATAACTTACCTAGGATAAGTATAATTTTTTCTGAATTATCTGGTTTCATAACGCCGTTTGCGGGTAGTTTCATTGATAAAAATAATTTTTACCCGAGTCAGTAGTTAGAGTAAGCAGTTTCTGATAGCATATTTCGCTAATATTATTATTATCTGTAAAAGTTGCCAACAACGAGTCTAATCGCGGCATTTCGTGGCAGACTGGACAGAAGGCCTTATTGTCGGCGGTAATGATCTCTAATAGACAGTTGTGTTTAACGTAGCAAATGTAGGTTAAATTTACAATACTTATTTCTCATTTTTTTAGTATATTTAAATAAAACCTTTTTTTAATTTATTTTTGATTTTAAGATATTTCGTCGTACCTTTTCAGCGAACTCTTTACTTTAATAGCCATATTATGAGAGCGCTTAAAGATAACAAATCCGCCATCTAGTCTCCTTATTGGATTCAAAATAAAGTTATTTTATTATTTTCATATTTTCAAGACACTTTTATTTCATATCCATTTCATGATGGTTCAAGAAAAAAAAATACATATCGCCATATTGTGCTATCCACCATAATAGATTTATAATTATGTAATTTAACTAAGCATGCATTATCATCTAAAGTAAACTTGTATGCCAAATTCAGTATAATTAGTTGAAGAAAACTACTTTGAAATTCAGTTGCAAGAAAAAGTGAGAATCTTGTTCTTACTTCCCCCTCGCCCGCACTTCCCCTTCATTATACTGACCCCGTAAAGCGCCAGTGATGTTTTTATTGTTGCCGTCACCGCCATTTCCATCCAAGTACAGAGATATCTCATCTTCATCAGCTGTCAGGTGAGCGAAAGCCTCCTTTTCTTGAGACGATCTACTTGTAGCTTCACTGCTTGTACTAGCAAGTTAAAACATATAAACATAATATTATAAAGAGGAATGATTTGATTGTTTGTTTGCTTACAGCGAATAGGGTCCCAAACTACTAGGCCGGTTTTAAAAATTCTTCCACCTAAAGGAAGTTGCATCATATGCGGTGAACATAGGCTATAATTTATCCCGAATAACAGTAAATAAAGGGATGAAAATGAGAGTGGAAGTTTGTATAGGGAATTAAAGCGTTACTATAGTAACCATTGTTTACTATTAAATTTGGTCATTGTAATTGTTATTGAATAAACAGACCCCTAGGGACCACGCGGGCGAAGCTGCTGGCGGAAAGCTAGTATAATATAAAATGCATTACACATTTTATGGAAATTAAAAATTATAGCATTATAATAAGCACTTCAAATAAAAATAATAAGTAAACACTCGTATCTATAGTCGAGATAAGTAATTACATGAGAAAATGTCATAATTTAAGCAAATATATTTAACAATAAAAGAAAATATGAATAAAGTAAGAACTGTTGATAGTTGGAATTTTATTATTATTAATAGCTCTTAGTTAATACAACTACTCGTCTATTGTTAAAATAACTATTTGCTTATGTTATGACATTTTCTCAAGTAATTACATCTTTCCTATCTACCTCGTGTGTTCATAAGTTTAGAGATAATCTTTTTTTTGAAATGATTTGTAACTTTTAAAAAAATTACAAATCATTTCAAAAACAAAGATGAAGCATTGAAAAATATGGCTGATGATATATATCCATATCAAGAAATGGCGGCATACCGAGATATGACTGGGCAAATCTCGATCGGCCCAATTCAACGATTGGCCTACGACATATACATTAAATAAACGTATTTTTCATAAAATATTTGATTTCTGTAAAACTATGAAAACTTTCTATGAAAAACTATAAATAATGTATACATATGTGCCATTATTTCGCCGAAAGAGCGTCATGATATCACAGTATTGTATGTTATAATCTTCGTAATCAAGACTTCAAATGATTATAATTCAGTAAATTATTAAATGAGACCTTGTAAATAACATTTATTTTTAACGAATCTGTGTGAACATACAAAAACATGTTATTTTCCTGTTTGGGTTAACGGTGATGTTACAGTATGGAGTTAAACAATCTGTAGACAAATATATAGATAATAGCTTTTCACCCGCGGCTTTGCCCGCATTTTTTAAATTTACTCTCACCTTTTGAATAAAGTAGAGAACGAGAACTTATTTTTCTTTGGTAAATCTCCTTGTTTCATATATTCTGAACTGGGGTTTAGGAATGTATATAAAGCTTCACTTTGGTTCAGTCTATCGTCTTCTAAAACAAACTGAAAGTAATAAATATAATCGATCTAGACATATGTTTTGATTATGCCACATTTTTCTTTACAAAGCAATAATATAATCAAGCGTTATAAGCTACATACTTCTAGATACTTTTGTATTAAAACCTTCGCTTTATCTAAAGAGTTTCTGTCGTTTTTGCCAAATAAAAATTTAAATGAATTGGTAGGTAGTTCCAAGTTTTTCAAGTCTGAACATAAAGGCCGTAATTTTCGATGTAACTCCTGTAAAATTAGAACGTAATTAGTATTTTTCTTCATATCTGAAAAATAACATTTGTCATGTTAGGAAAAGTTATAGGTATTACTTGGAATTCGTTAAGTGTCCTTAATAGCACCCAGCCTGTGGATATCTGTTCCGGTCTCTCCTCACATGCTGTTGCTTCTTGTTCAGCCATATGAACTACTATCACAAATTGTGGGGGTTTCGCTTCGTCTATCACCTGCAATTAAAAAGACAATCAACACCTTAGTCTTATGTGAACACGGAACCTGTAAAAAGGCCGAAACGTCAATAAAACTAATTACAAACGCCATGAAACCATTTCAAAGTTGTTTTATTCAATAATAATACATATTATATTTCAATTTAAAAACACATACCACACACTGAATAGAAAACAATACATAATGAATATTAAACGAGTCTGACCTCAGCACTTTGGACAGTGGCGCGCCACCTGCCCAGGTGTTCGGCCCAGGTGTCAGTGCGCGCCAGGTGCGCTTCCAGTCGCATCTGTTCCCCAGCTAATCTTTCCACCTCATTTGCCAACATCGCTAGAGCTGGGGAGTCTGGCTTCAGCGAAGCGCGTAGAGCAGCTAAAGCCTTCAAGAAAATAGATTTTAACGAAGTGTCGCCACATTTTATTATTACGCTACATTTTATAAAACAAAGTCTATATTAGCCGAGCGATTACGCTCTGCTGTGCGAACTTAGAGCAGGACGCTAGTTATTAAAAAAAGAACCTAGTCAATGATTCCATGTCATTGATTATCAAACAGAAATCATATTCTGTGACCAGACCACATGCGTTTTAAATTTTATGACGTTTATGTTATGAGCTAGATAAGGAACTGTTTTACATTGCCTCAGTTCATGGTACATTTGTTGTTTCCATAACACAAGGGCTGTCGTTCAAGATATGAGCAATGCGATGTTGACGACTATTTATTATATATCTGTGTATATAAAAAATGCCAGTTAAGCAGATTCATCTAAATACGATAATTGATATTATTCACCTGTATTTTATTATTGTGCCTTTCTTGCAATTGGTCAAGTTTCCTTCGAGCGTAAGTGGAGTGTTCGGTCAGATGCGCACCGCCTACGCTCTCCGCCGATGATACAGATTCATTTGACAACTGCCTGTCCTCTATAGGAGATCTCTCTGAACTTATTTCTAAAATATTATTGACAATTAAACAATCTGATCTTTGTATTTTCTTTAAAACTAAGTGCATACAGTTTTTTTAATACACGACATATACTTTGTTAACTTTATCACCTTTGTTAGCTTCTTCTGTCGCCAGTTCTGCAATTAAAGCAGTATATTGATCGCTTAAAAGGAACGATGAGTAATACTTTTCTTGAATGGTGTCAACAACAGTGTCTTGGACTTCATAAAAAACTTCTGGCCCTTTGTCCCCTAGTAAAAATGATTCCATTCGCTTTCTTGTTTCCTAAAAACGAAATGGTCCTATGATTGGGCGATGATGTAGATTTTAGTTTCACTAATGGAAGAGTTAACAATAACTAACAACTCTATTTATTCTCATTGCTGAGAGTGACTGTATCTAAATAAGTTGGTAATTTTCATATAGAACACGTACCTTATCAACCTTAATTTCTGCACTAGGCGATCTTATGTACGTATAGAATATTTCCGCGCCGAGCTGGTGCCAACTGCTGCGGGGACTGTGCCGCAACTCTTCGACTGCTGTCCAGAAACCTACCAAGCCTTGGGAACACATCGTTTCTAGAAACATAGAGAGGTAACGGCGACCTGTTACGCTTTCCATAATTTTGTGTAGAGGGAGTGTCTGAAATAAAAATCCAATAATACAGATACCTTCAATGATACATTACAAAGAGAATGCGTAATTGGGTCATGATAACACTTTTTGTGACTGTATATTACTTTGGTTTTTAAGATTTCAGTTTTTAAATAGCGAATTTCTACCATACAACGCCAAACACAAGATAAAAGGTGTTTATTGACGAGCGACAATAAATCATATTACCTTACTATTAGACTCGACAGTCGGAAAAGCTCCTTCCCATCCCAACTTTCTTAGAGCCGTTTCACACTCTGCTTTCGCAATCGTCAACTGGCTAATGTATCTCTTCAATTTCTTTGCATCGTTTATCTGTTGCCTGCTCACATTTTGTTGGACGCCACTCTTCTCTATGACGTCTATGTCTATGCCTTTTGCTCTTTTCATGTTTTGTAAAGTAGTTGCTTGCATTATTTGAGTAACAATATCATAGCTAGAAATACAAATAATCAGTTTCATAAACAACATACTTTATTAGAATGGTGTATGGTCTTATTTTGCAATTATTATAAAATCAAAAGTTTGGTTAGTTAGGGGTACTATTCTAATAAGTTTTGATTTGTTATTATTACATTATAAGCAATAGACTTTTTTATATTTTCGGACTTGTCCTTCGTCTATTACCTATGACAATTCAGTGTTTTGGACTAATTTATAATAAGTTGTTAATAATAAAAGCATTGAACTTGTCTATCATTAATTAACAATACAAAGCGAAAGTAACATTGCTAGAAGCTACCCACCGTAACCGTTTCAGAGTGTCGACATTATTGCAGTTAGTTATTAGTCTTATGTAATCCTCGAATGTTTTCGCATACTCGTGAGTACGCACATGCATGGCATCTACTTCTTTCTGAGCCTCCAGATATTGTACTATTTTTTGATTAATGTAATCTGGCTCAGTAATTAGATCTATGGCTGGTTGTAAAACTATAAGCAACAAGAAGTTCGTTATGATTGTTAAATGAACATTACACTGGCTTAAATAAAACATTTTCAAATTTAGATGAAAACATTTTTTGGAAGAAGCGATATATGTAAAGCATAGGAATTTGCATCAACCAACTAATATGGATCAGGACTGAGTAAAAAAGAAATTTAATTATTATATTTGATCAATTTTGCATTTAAAATGCTATATGGAAAAATATTCTTAACTTTGCATTTTTATGCATAAGTATTTTTGCTTTAAAAATTGCTTAAAGAAGTTTTAGCTGAGAAGTGGGGGCTCGCTTCGTAATAGCTTTGTAGGAAATGTACAAAAGCGTCAAGCCCTGTGACATTTAACTCAATGTATCGCCGTAATTTATTAATTACGCAAAAATACGTCTTAAATATTTCTACAATAATCTAGCTAACGGACAGACAAAAAAAAATTTGTCATCATCCCTCAGACAAATAAATCTAGCTGAAATCATGTCTTTGTATTAAGCCTATCAAGTCTGAACCCTCTTTATTCTCCCGTATTCTTTGAAATACAGTTGAAAGCTTATTAACCTTATTAATTGAAAGCATATTAAAAAACAACATACCAAACACCATTCAATTATTGCAAAAGGTTCAAACCTTTCATAGGTTCTTTGGTCATTTAGAAGTCACTTGTGCTGAATTTTACTTTTGTTTTAATCTAATTTAAGGACTAAATTCAGGGTGTACACAATTTCAAGTGGATAACCATTTTATAGAATGTTCATATTACTTCGAATAGTAGTTTCCTGCATTTTTTATTACTATTGTCTCCTTTGTGAATTTAAGTTTTGGGTCAATTGAGGGGAGTTCTCATTGTCATCCTAATTAAATCATTAAAACTACTCTGCAAGTGGTAGTATTTTGCAGTGTTTTTTACTGCATACCTATATCTTGCGATTAGCATCATGTGTTTATATTTTATATGACAGAATGACATCATATAAACACAGTGCAAATGACAGGGCAAGCAATGAAGCCACAATAATTTATATAAATATTTTATGTTAAGCAACAAAAAACAAGTAAAGGAAAATATAACATTTACATTGTTGTTTTTAATCATATGTTAATAAAATTTTGGAATTATCTCCTTTTCAAACAATATCAATAATACCAGTTTAAATTAAGAAGTGGCCAATATAATAAAACTAAAATTTAATTCACATATTCAGAACTAAAAAACACATTATTAGTTAGGAGGTAGAGAAACTGTAAATCAAATCAAATAAAATCAAAATTGTTTATTCGGTTTAGGCTTTTACAGAGCATTCGTGAAAGTCGAAAACTATGCCATCGGTTCGCAAAACTACGGCGGGAGACCTTGTACTGAGAACTCATGTAATAGGTAACTTAGTTTTAATAGTATTTGACACTTAAAACTAAGTTGTGTAATGTGGTCATCTTGTTAGATAATAATCTAATAAAGTTTATTTCTTTGAATATGCAGAGAAAATATGTTTAGCTTTAGTAAAATAATATAAAGAAAATACAAGATTTTTAGGAATTTTTAATGAATGAGGAAAAACAGGAAAAACGAAAAACACTAACCAATAACAGGTTTTGTTTACACGCATGTGACATCACACATAAAAAGGAAGCTGACGTATCAAAACAGTGATATTAGAGATACGAAAAATTTGTGCATATTTATACATCAAATTTGTAGCTCATATTTATAAACAAAACAGAGTAGATACAAATACAAAACATAAAATTTAACTTCAATTTCTCTTCTGTAATACTATTTGCTTACTTCGTAAATAAATACATAGTTGTATATTATAGGTTATGGCGCCTTGACATATTTACCAGCATGTGACGTCACAAATACCACGTGATCAGCCCCATTACATAGAGCAGGGTTTAGTGTGCGACTTCAGCTATTTAAACTTTAATAATTATTTTTATCGAAAATAGGGCTGTTATAATGTATTAAACAACCATATAAAATAATTTTCATAAAATTTGGATGATGGTATATTAATATTGATGGTATAACTATTATACATGAATATTAATCACATGGAAAAAAGAGTCATGTCAGCCAAATTGATTTGTATTAAATTGTTCAATGAAATGTAACGTAATCATTACAAAACAGCTTGTTTTCATAATCCAATTATATAAGTTTTTATTTCTACACATCAATAAATTATTACATAAAAATTGATGCAGACTGTTTACATTTTATGATTTATTATTTATGTATTTTTTTATATTATAGGAAATTATGATCCCTTCTTTCATGTGAATTTTGTTAATTGTAAAATTTCCACAACAAAAGAGTAATTTCTCAAATATATAACATGAATAGTTTTTATGTCATTATTAAGCTAAATTTACATACCTTTGCATGCCAGTATCTCCCTCATGAGATGAGAAGCTGGTGACAGAGAGTAGCAACGAGGCAAGAGGAACATAATGATGAGCTCACTGATCTGACGTAGATAATGAAGTTCTGTTTCACATGACATTAAATGGGGGGCCAATGCAAATACTGGTGGCTGGTTTAGCTCCAAACTGAATGAGTTAAAAAAATATATTGACTCTTTACAACAATCTTTAATTAAAAATTATTATTATCATATTAGCCTATTTACTGAGTAACTATTACCCTGTTGCACAAACTCCATTAAAATTGACATTAGTTTAAAGCAATACAAATGCAAATTTTCAAATTTAGAACATTGATTATGGCTTAGTTATCATTAAATGTCAACAATTGTTTGTGCAATTTAAGCATATAAATCAAAAGCTAATAAGGAATACTGATATAATACTTACGCACAGCTCCTAGCAATTCTTATTCTTTCAAAGTGTTGTGTAATTTTAGTAACCATATCACCTGCAATTAATTTTTCTGCATCTACTTTAGATAGTCTCTCATATAGGTTTTGAATTGCACCCCATATGTGCTCTTTGAACTTATCTATTACTGGATCAGGTTTATGAGATAATTCTTTTAACCAGCATGTTATGAAGTCCCTCAGGACAAAATCAATTAGTTGTTGAAGCTGACTATCTACAGTACGCCCAAAAATTACAGGTAAATGTGACTTTTTAGTTGAATGAGGCCAGTTACTATGATCTTCCTGAAATATGTTTCAATGTTTTTTTTTTTATTTGTTCATTATACTTGTATTACTTATATAAAATACTACAGCTTAGTTTAGTTTCTATTCATTATAACAATATTTAACAGTCAAAACTTTAATTATTAAATTTATGGGTAATATTATATTAATACATTTAAAATTAACATACCTTTAAGAATTCTTCTAATTCACGAACAACTTTTTCTACCCTTTCTAATAAAAACATTGAAGTTTGATGTGGAGAAGAAAGTGCAACATGACCCCAAAGAGTTAATAGAAAAACTAACAAAATAATAAATATAGTAGTCAGAAATAAATAAAACAAATTCAATACTAGAGGAACATACCACGTTCCAACAACAAAAATAGGCAATACACCAAGTATTGCCCACTTCATCGCGGCTTCAATAAATGTTATACTAACACACTTTCCGTGATTTCATAGTACCATGTAGTACGGTCTGGTTGAGAAAATAAATGATATAAATTATCCTTTTTTTAATAACTATTAGCTCTGTTTACATTTGAAATACACCGAAATAATTATACACTGTCTTTTACATAGATAATCGAACGAATGTATGAATAAACATGTTTTTAGATTATGAAAGGTATTTATAATTACTAAAAGAACATCAAAAATTTGTAAGTAATAGGTTTATTGTTTATTCTATCGTTGCTTTGTTTTAGACCAAAGACGATTGATTTTTTTCCGATTTCTTCGGACAAAATTCATTTTATATCAATCATTTTGATTTTGATACTGTCACTTTGACAGCAGCGATCAGTTTCAGTAGTGGTAGTAGTAGTAGTAGGAGTTTCGTCATAGGATAGGCGAAGGAACTAAGCCATACAGCCAACTGACAATGAACAATGACTAGGGTTGTGTGGATACCAAGTAAATACCAAGTAACTTGCATTTCCTTGATAAACACTCGATATTTTTCTTTCGATACAAGTAAATTCAACACATAAGGCTATAAAAAATTAACTTACTTTAAGCCTTTAAACATTATCAGAAGATTTCAAAATCAATGATATATTTTTTTAAAGAGGTAAAAAAAAAATTGTTACCGAAATGAAACTACGGTACGGTACGTTCTCCATGACAACCCTTTCGGTTTTCTTTCATGTATAAAAGTAAATTAGTTTTCAAAACTCAATAAACTACTCATATTCAGTTTGTACTTTTTCGTATTTGTATTGATAATCTTAGTTTCGAATTTGCAAATTTAAGTTTTTATGTATTTTAGTTAAAAGGAACGGAAATGACCATCTATGGTCCATTAGTTTCCTGCAAAAATCAACTTTTGCTAGAGTCGCCATCTAGTGGAGGTGCTTTTTTAGAGCTTACTTTTTTTAAATACTTCCTCATTGATATATTGTATTAGTCTTACTGGCAGCCGAGTATCGTAACAAGGACTAACTAACTTGTCTAACTACCCAGTAAAGATGCAACTCAATATTAAACACTGTTGAAATAAATTAATATATGTTGGTCAGTTCTAATGGATGGAATTTCTAGATAAACATTCGAATCACAATACAAATTTTCTTTAAAGGACATTCACAATAGACGTTTGTAAATTGTTAGTAAATCGACTCAGTGAGTCAGTTCAGCAAAATAATCCCAATCTCAAAGTTGCTCCAAATTAGGCGTGGGCCCGGAATGAATTTCGATTTCAGACTGTTTGTTAGGTATCAATTGATAGATTAGTTCACGACCATAATTATTATTTATTTATAAGTCTACAGCGTATGCTTCTAATTCATCATTTTTTCTTTGTTTACGATTAAAATGTTTGTGGCGTTCTACAGCCATTTTAACTTTTGTTAGAAAATGAGCTTCAAATCGTTTTAACAAATCCTTGTAGGTAATTTTTTCCAAGTCCACATTGAATGAAATAAATATTAGTATTGCCTCTGTGTCAATGACATTTAAGAGTATTGCGACTTTTCTAACATCGGGGTCGGGGTCTCATGTAAAAATAGGTGTTCCCCAAGGTTCTATCTTAAGCCCATTTCTATTTTTAATATATATAAATGATTTACCATTTTTTGTTAAAAACCTATGTGAGATCGTGTTGTTTGCAGATGACACTTCATTGATATTTAACATTGACAGAAACAAATATAATTTTGACGATGTAAACAATGCTCTCTCACGAGTATTATCTTGGTTCACAGTTAATAATCTTCGATTGAAAGCTAAAAAAGCCAAATGTATTAAATTCACTTAACCTAATGTAAAAGTAGAACCAACTGAAATTTAACTCAACAACGAACATTTAGAGTTAGTAAGTTCAACAAAATTTTTGGGCGTAAGACTAGATTCAAAACTGCAATGAAACCCGCATATTTCTATATTAGCTGGTAAACTCAGCTCAGCTGCATATTGTAACAACACCCCCCTTTCCCACTAAAAAATTAAATTATTAATTATCTGCATATAAGAATTTAAATAAAAAATCTTTAATAAAATAAATATTAACTAATTATTTGGCCATAATTATAAAGTTGTGATCGTCTAGTGGTAGGACTCTTCATTGTGTTATATTTGTAGTAACCTTAGATTCTTTGTATGAAGGTGATTGTGAGTGGTTAGAGTATATGTTTTTGAGGGCATGGAGAAGATTAGATCTTAAACTAATAAATTAAAATAACACTATAAGGTGATAAAATATAGTTGTGTATAAAATAATAAAAGTAAATGTTTCTTCTTTGGTAAACAAATAAAATATAAGAAAAGTTTGTTTACTAAATTAAGCTTAAATATTTGAATGAAAGTTATAGAATAAGTCTGTTAGGTAGTAAAGGAAATGAGGTAAGTAAACAACAACAATGCCAAGAAATATGTAAATAAAAGAAAATAAATACAGCATTGCTGATGTTTAAAGTGCTTTCGAGCCCCAACCACGCTCAAAGCCCAGGGCCCACCACACGGCCCCTTAACCATTATTAACTCTTACCGGTCCAGCAAGGAATACCTTTCTAACCAAAAATAAAACTACACCTCCAAAAAAAGAAGTGCTCTGCAAAAGAGCAAAAGAAAACCCTATATGGTTCGTTAATATACCCAGACTGATGTCCTCCATAAAGACAATGGAACATAGTTTGACATAGCATTAGCGATCGTCCACCGGTACCACGGGGAATGCGCCATTTCGACCACTCCAGTACGGGATAAGGAGACAACTAACACGATATCGCACAGGACCTCACCAATATGGAACACACGCCCAGGAACATTAGCCACCACATCAGAACGACACAATAAAGCGAAGCCCTATAATTATTCGTCAATATAACAGGATTATTTGCCCTCCACTGAACGAATGGCACAAGCAATCAACCGAGCTATCTCTCACACTTCCGATACTGGCGGTGATCACCATCCTGACCCAGTATAGGATAGGCGTCATTGATACTGGAATCTCACCGAACCATACATTCAAATGACGGACAACACCTACGATATTAACGAATAATTGGAACAACCCAATATTGTGACTTCTTATAAAACTATGAAATCCTAGTAATAAAAATAGTATGAACAGACTCAAAAGAGTCCAAATAAAAAGAAGCGAAACACATAAGAATTCTCATTCCAATCTGGACCGATCGAAATTGAAATTAAAATTATGAAATTGACTAGATTAATTCAAAGTGGTAATATTTTCTTATGTCAGGTTAGTTGTGTGTTATTTGAGTAGTATGTTATGTATATAAATATAGTATAATATAGCACACCTAAAAGACATAATTATAAAGTAATTAACGATAAAACACACACAAAAATCCTACTTTATAATAACCCCTTATCATAATTTATCTGCAATAATATACTACCCAGAGTTTGCCTACGCTCTAGCTCCAGGGTTTTGTCAGGGTAATTCAAAATTCGTCATACATCATTCATACATACTATTTGAATTACTGTAAATCGTTGTATTTTCAAGATTATATTATTCACTAAGAACGTATCGGATATTACTTTCATATCTATATCAGAAAAATAAAAATTGATAAAAATACGTTCCCTAATATCACTTACTTGCGATCCAAAACGGAAGCCCTGAACCCCAAAGCCTCCAGCCGCCCAGCCTTGCCTATTGTTCAGCCTCGTGCCACCAGCTCTTCTTTCCTCCAGCACTTCGCCCTTATACTATTTTTACTATCAGAGTTCCGTCTCCGAAGAAGTTACTTGCCGAATCATCCAGAATCTCATACCTATTTCCTTTTATACACTTATCCTTCTAGAACATTCTACACACACACATCAACGAGTTCATTCGCTTTAGTTTAGGTATCCATCCCCTCAACCAGTCAAATCCATTACTAAATATTGTGATATTCTAGTATATTATTCTAATAAAACGATAAATTACTAATAGAATGTACATATTAAATGTTTCGATATATTCAATAATCATTTGTCGTGATGTTGTAGTTAAATATCTTCCTAACAAAATTTTATATTTTATAATCATAACGCGTTAACACCCATAATCATGTCCTGGCAACCAGAACCTTAGGAACCATTTAAATTCCTTTAACAATAACACTAGTTGTTTTATTGAATGTTTCTAAAATGTTCATCGAATTCCATTAATAGGTAAATAATTCATTATTTATCGAGATTAGACAATGACTCTTCCTTGCTCCTTTCTATTTTTGTGAATTTATTAATCACTTGAGCCTGACAACAAAAAAGATGTTTACAGTGGAATAATTTATCTTTTTGCATTAAATTTTCAGTTATTAGCTTACTTTATATTTTCAAAAACTATTAAGAACCTTTTAAGAGAATATAGCCATCAATAATTTTTATTACAAACTTTATTAATATTACTCAATTACGACTTCCGCTAACTAGCTAAATCTATTTGTCCGTGAAATGAGCGCCATCTGGTGTTGAGTTACCAAACTGTATATATATACCTATATTAAGTTACTATGATGGTGGAACTACTATGATATTCATTACAAACAAAATAAATTTAATTACAAACTTTATTAATACATTAAAATAAAATTTCCGCTAACTAACCAAATCTATTAGTTCGTGAATTTCATTCTTTCTTTTATTTTTTGTAAAAGTATAAGAGCGCCGCCTAGTATGAAGCTTGTAAACTAGCTGCTGCTCTGTATTTAAGTTACTAGGTACAATATATATGGATAATACAATGAAATTTGCATCTAGTCCGAGAGATGGCAAGACTATCATTTCTAGACTATTGTTTCAAGAAATAAATAAAGCGATATGATTACAGCCATAATATTATTCATTTGCCTTTTTCAGTGTTTTTTATTTATTTATTATTTAAGGTAATGGTGATATATTTATTATATATGTTTATATCGCGGTGTGTTCCGTCACAATCGCCCCCTAAATTA